CAGATTTTTAGCAATGAGTTTTGTTTGACTGCTGCGTTGAATTGGGAGTGTTTACCATTTTGACGACGGGAATAGGTTGAGAAACGGGGTGGGGACGTATGATACAAATTGGAGGTATCACAGAGGTTGAAGGTGTTCCTGTACGAAGATTCCGCTGTTGTACTATTTGCAATCTTGACTTTGGAAGACGTCGTTCGCGCTTGGAATTGTGAGATATCCATTGAGAGAGCTGATACTGTGACCTTAAAATAGTGAGGTCTGCGCTAGAGCTTGGTACCGAGAGGTTCGCGACCATGGGACTGCGCTGGATTATACAAATTTGCTGGCAGATATTCTGCAGTTCTATTTCTTGAACCAAGGAATGGAACGTGGAATCCGCTGGCAGGCATGTCCATTGCGACGTTTCATGTGCACGACCAAAGGCACTGACAAGTCCCCGAAGCCGGCCACAGGATTTGTCTTGCTACCATACAAGAGACCCCGTGAAAATGAACGGCTAAAAATTGTCTTCCGGATAGGCGGCATCGCAGGACGTATTAAGAACTTTGCACCGTCGAATCAAAAGGATCTTTTACTATGAGTGAAAGGGTGCCTACGCTCTTGTCCACGCAGGCTGCGCAGTTGTTGCGTCAGACTACAATGCTTCATGTACGAGGCCTGCATCTCACACGCCGCCGACGTAGAGTAGGGGCTGATAGCTGCACGAAAGGCTCTCGGTGACGTACTGTCAGAAAATACGTTGTCGTCGGGCACAGCAAAGGCGGCATGACATCATGGCGAACAAACAAACGCCTTGCCATGTCCGACCAAGACTCTCAAAGCAAGCAAATTCCTCAGTTGTGTTGCAAATGCGCCTGCGTTACTCCCACTTGAACTCACTGCCGAAGCCGTCCGCCGCGCAGGCACATGGCCTAATGACGACGCGGTAATCATCTTCATGCTCCTGTTCATAACAGACATTGTCCCAAATGCCTGCTGTCTAGAAGACTACCTCACAGACATAGTGCTCGCCCGCATTCCTCTCGCAAATCAGGGCTGTGTTTAGGTCGCACGTGCTTTCTTCGCACCTTCCATGAAAGACTCAATGCAGCACCAAGACGTTATTGCATGGGATAAGAAGTACCATGGCATGGGCCCGTATCGTTTGGCAGCGTCCATGTTCGTCGTTCAGGGTACCACGGATCCATTGGTTTACCTGAACAACGTCGAGAGCGACTTTAACCAAACGTGCGCTGCATATCCAAGTATTTGGATCACTTTACTGCGATACCCTGACACGTATCACAGCTTTGTGGTGCAGGATACTCAGGTTGACTACTTGGCCTGGATCAAGGACTATTGTGACCATGTCAAGCTGCCCAAGGGATGCCATTTAGAGACCGTCGAACCTATCACAGATACGTAAGAACTGCCATTACCTTCTAAGTGAGGATCAATTTTGGGTAAGGGATGGTCTTTCTGATGCATCATCGTAAGGGTAAAATCTAGCTCTATGTCTATGTAACGTACTCAACGAAAGAGTGTTGGTGGTGAACGGCCTCGCTATTTTCTTCATATCATGAGTGCCCAGGGCTCCATGTGCCGTTTCCCAACAATATACCAGGCTTAGAATAATCCAGTGTCTTTCCGTGAAGTATATATGCCCAACGGAAGTATTCATTGAGATGACTATCTGCTGGTCGAGTCCAGTTGAAAGAACTTACCGCACCATTGATATCATCAGCGTAGAAGGAACGTCCGCGTTCAACATCGTTGACCATTACGCTAATAACATCTACCTTAGTTACAGGGTTGCCATAAGTAAAAGTGGCAACGAGTGTCTCGGCACCCAATTGAATCGACGGTTCCGGTATCTTGGGGACGACAGAGTTGAATCTTGCATCTTCACGGAGCGCTGTAGAAGTCTGCAAGATAGAGTCAAAGTCCCAGCGCGCTATACCATTGACAAAAAGGCCAAGTAAGATTCCCTGATACAACAATGACGGTCGTGTTTGAAGACTAGTCCCTGGAAGCAGCAAGAGTGCCAGTATATAGTGGTGAATCCGTAAGTTGACGCCAGGTAACGTCACGGAAACGATGATTCCAAGAAGAAAGAGGCCGTATAGACCGAGATAGCGGACCAGCCGACCCTCGAGCCAGAAGTAGTACACCTGGCCGACGATGATGACGACTAATATCAGGATGATAATGGCCAAGGCCACCTTGGCTCCCGGCTGCTGCTCCAGGTCATGCGCCGTAAGTCGGGAGATTGGAATCCATTCAAATGTATAATTTGACAATGCTCCGATCCAGAAGCCACCAAGCCAAAACAGTGCCTTTTCGAACTGTGCAGTCAAACCAGACAAGGTGCGTCTGATGATTGTAGGGTACAACACAACAGCAACAAACAGCGCCGGTAGTAACCCCTTTGCGAACATGGACAAGTGGTCTGGCAAGACCGTGACGTTCAAAGGTGATGCCATTGGCGGATCAGAGACAAAGCTCACATGAGCAAAGATGAGCGTGAAAATCGGGAAGAAGATATTCGGTGATGTGGAGAATATAGCAAGCAAAACAGTGAAAAGAACGGAAACCGGAAGTAATGCGAAACGAGGATCTGAGCCAGACTCAAAACTAGCATCCAAGACGACTGAAAACGACAGTGGGAAAGATGAATCAAACGGGATAGACTCGATGCCATGGCGCTTCGTGCTTGCAAAGTCATCATGAGCTCCGACCAAGTTGACGCGACCACTACCACCTTTGATCCCATCCACAATCCCGGCATGAATCGCCGAGGCACATATGAAGCTGTCTCCTCGATACACTCCGGAACCGATAACAAGAGGCCGATAGTTGACTTCCAGCGGCCCAACAACATGCGGATTCAAGACCTGGACATCGCCACATTTCGCTGGGCAGCGAAAAGCAAAAGTTGTATTGCTGAATGGACGACAGTTGATACCGTCGATTCCGCAGAGGTTTTTGCGCTGCCACATCGTGTCTGTGCAATCCAGGTTGAATACATCGTTGCCGTCGGCATCCTGGATCGGTAATTGCGCAGTAAGAAACCAGATGAAGATTAGGAGCCAGAGGAATAGTACTGGGATAAGTGAGACGGGCTTGTTGAGTCTGTAGGCTTCAAGCCAACGCACTGGACGCGTTTGTATCGATGCAAAGTATGGTTGGATGGTTTGAACGCGAGGCTGCTCCGGACCTCGGAGGAGGTGCAGTAAGCGCTGTAGACGGGTTGGAAAGTGCCTATTTGTAGATGATGTGGGCTCGTCATATTCCAGTTCTTCTCTTCGCAACAATTGAGCTTCTTCGTCAGTGTAAGGGAGTCCGGCAGTGGTTTCGTCTGCATCATCGAGATGACCATCATTATCTTGATACTGCGACGATTTTTGCATCGTCACTTCTGATGTATCTGAGGGTAAGATATTGTATGGTCTGAACGATGGGCACTGTACCTAGGTAGCCGCGCCTTGCAGGAGATGAGGCTTTGGACGGTCCGCCTTGCTATTTTCCTCACGGAGCTTATCGATAACCATTAAACATGTACTTTGTCAGTATTACTACATACTTCATCTAAAGTCTATGAAAATGTGCTCAGATCTGTTGTTATCCCTGGAAGCAATTTACATCCAAATGTAAGTTGTATCACAGTCGCACATCATGGCGGATGAAGCCGCCCGCCATCTCGATCCCGCACAGACCAAGACCCTTAAGTTACCATTGAACCCTCACCCAGCTGAACAATTACGCGCACAACATCCGACGCGCTCACATATCCTCCTGCTTAATTCCACCATCCAAGCACCCAATTGATCGCCAAAATGGACGCGCTACAAGCATGGCTCCCCCAAGCAGAAGGTCTGCTACCAAAATGGCTGCTCTTCGTACATACATCCCCTTTACAACACAGTTTGAACATTTACTGAACTACCCTAGGTTTCCATCGTATCAATGGGAAACTCGGTGCAATCTTATAGCACACTCGCATTTACGTCACGCGTCTACAATCCTACGCCAATCGATCCGCCTCCTACTACCCCGAAACACGTAACCGCACTCTCGTCGCGCACTTTCGGGACCTGGACTTTCCTCACAGCCATGATTCGGTTCTATGCGGCCTACAATATCAACGATCCTGCATTCTATCAGTTGGCCATGTGGAGTTATGCGGTGGCTTGGGGACATTTCATGAGTGAGTGGTGGGTGTTTGGAACGACCAGATGGGGGAAGCCTTTGGCTGGACCGATAATTGTTGCAAATACCAGTCTGATCTGGATGTGGCTGCAATGGGGATTCTATGTCAAGGCTTAAGGTAGCGGGATGTAAGCATATGCATCATATGCTAATTGTGGTGTATTCTTCATAGACTTTGTGCTGTAGATACTAAGACTGCACATACCAGGGCAGTTCATAGTACTAAGACGAGTGGCGTAGCCGGCCGCCTACATAGCAAGCATCACGCACGCATGGAACCGCAACGAACTTTTGACCCGCCTCGGTGGCTTGTTTGGCCACTCGAGGACTTTCATTGATCGTGGCTGAAGAAACATACATGGCCATTGGACTCCGATTCCTCAACCCAGATGCCGAGTTTTGACCATATGGAAAACCACCACGCTCCGACACAACCACGTTTCTTTCCTTTCTTTGCTGATCATGAACCGTTACACCATCCCTTTTCTATGCATTTAGAACTTGTTGAACTGCTTAGCAGCCTTTCCCTTTCGGGGGAGGACACGGAGGACGTTGAAGCGGACGGTCTTGGAGAGGGGCCTGCACTGGCCAACGACGACCTGGTCACCGGGCTCAACACGGAAAGCGGGCGAGACGTGTGCGGCGAGGTTCTTGTGGCGCTTCTCGTAACGGGAGTACTTGGGGATGAAGTGGAGGTATTCACGGCGGATGATCAAGGTGCCTGTAGTTTGTTAATATCAATTTCCAGGTCCATCCAAATCGTTGCCGGAACGTCTTTGAAAATTCTGGAATGACGTACGATGCATCTTGGTGGACATGACGGTTCCGGTAAGGATACGGCCACGGATGGAGACCATGCCAGTGAAGGGGCACTTCTTGTCAATGTAGGTACCCTCAATGGCAGTCTTGGGCGTACGGAAGCCCAGACCAACATCCTTGTACCATCTCCTGTTGCGGGTGTTCTTGCGCGGTCCGCCGACCTTGTGGTTGAGGAAGATGTGAGGCTATCGCGGCGCATTAGTATCGGATTGCTGGGAGTGCGAATTGGGCGTCTAGTACCTGCTTCTGGAAAGCGCGCTCCGACTGGACACTATTTCGCAGTCAGTCACTGTCGAGGAATTTCGTATTATCGCACAACATACGTGAGTTCGGTCGCCATGGTTGCTGGTCGGGTGGTATTGTCGAGCTTTCGATGTTGTCGGACTCCAATTTCCACTCTGCATTTGCTTAGCGAGTGTTGCCGATGGGTTTTTCCGTGCCGACGCTTGTGAATTTAGCACCACGCTAACCCGTCATCCAGCCTCGGCAGGGCTGAGTGAAGTCTGGCGAGATTCAGGACGCTGGCTTGCCAATCGACTGCGTGTTGTGTTTAATGTTCCAGATTTGAGTCAATTCTGTGAATCTGACACCTTCATCCGCCTCTCTCTTATCGCCCTCCATCCAACCATCATGGCGAACATTTTGGAGCCTTTCGGTATCCGCATCGATGCCGATAATTCCTTCGTTCAAGCTGCTGTTACTGGCTTTTTGCTCGTAGGCATTGCATCTTTTGCAGCACCACTTATCAGCACAATTCGAGTGCTTCTTAGCTTGTTTGTGCTGCCAGGAAAATCAGTATGTATTCCCAATCCGTGTTTACAGGCGTCAAGCGTTTCCGCTACCCCTCAGTATATCTAACATTGGCCAGCTCACCACCTTTGGGCCCCGCGGCACCTGGGCCCTTATAACTGGCGCCTCAGACGGCATTGGCAAAGAGTTTGCCCTTTCTCTCGCAGCAAAGGGCTACAACCTCATCCTCGTTTCTCGCACGCAATCGAAGCTCGACTCCCTCTCCGCCGACATTACTTCCAAATATGGTCCCAAGATCGCTGTCAAGACATTGGCTATGGATTTTGCCCTAAACAAGGACGCCGACTACAACAACATGAAGAAGCTCATTGAGGGTCTAGATGTCAGCATTCTCATCAACAATGTCGGACTGAGCCATAGCATTCCGGTACCGTTTACCGAGACACCTAAGCAGGAGATGACCGACATCATTATGATCAACTGCATGGCTACTCTACGTGTAACCCAGCTCGTCACACCTGGCATGGTCTCTCGGAAGCGCGGTCTCGTCCTCACCATGGCGTCCTTTGGTGGTTTCTTCCCCACGCCGCTTCTCGCAACCTACTCTGGCAGCAAAGCCTTCCTCCAACAGTGGTCCACAGCGCTCGCTTCCGAACTCGAACCCCACGGCGTATACGTTCAATGCGTGCAGTCCCACCTCGTCACCACGGCTATGTCCAAGATTCGCAAGACTTCCGCCCTCGTGCCCAATCCGAAACAATTCGTAGACGCAACATTGAGCAAGATTGGACGCAGTGGTGGTGCACAGGGCGTTGCTTTCACTAGCACACCATACTGGAGTCATGGACTCATGCACTGGTTCCTCTCGCGCTTCCTCGGCGAACGATCCGAGACTGTGGTCAAGGTGAACAGGGGTATGCACGAGAACATCCGGAGGCGCGCACTTAGGAAGGCTGAGAGGGATGCGAAGAAGCAGTAGAGCGTATGTACGCTTTTCGGTATGAATGATGCTCTCTGGAGACGACTGGGAACACATGGAGAAGTCCTTCCCGACTTGTTGTGAAGTACAAAAGTACATAATATAGTAGCTCATGTTCCAACATTTAAGTAATGTCTAAAGACACCCTTTTTCGACCTCGAAACTCTCCTACTCATCTACTCATCTCACCTCCTTAGTGCAGTCCACGTCCACTGCAACCGCAAATTCGGATGATCCTCTGTGTCGTTATCATCTTTCTCCTCACCCGCTTTCTTTCTTTCCCGCTGGCCCCTCACACTCTTCTCACACCCAACAAGCCCCTCCTCCAACACTCGTGCATTCGCGTAGCTAATCTCACTCCCCGTTTTGTCCTTTTGACACTAAACCGCCACAGCCTCGTAAGCTTACATCATTTTATCAACCGGTGAGAATGACTACGTACCTGATTTGAGGTCTCATTTTCAGGCGTCTCATAAGGTTGATGGGGCGAGGAGGAGGCGTGTGTCATTTTGATGGGGGCTTGGCTTTGGATGTCTGGCTGTTGATGATGATGGTGGTATGTAGACATAAGATCAGGAGAATGTGATAAACGCGCCCACTCCGCTATGTTGAGAAGAAGCGATTCGTACATGGCGCGTGTGGTCGTGGGTGTTTGACTGTGCACGTGCTGTTGTGGTACGTTGTGCATGTTTGCTTGTGTATTTGAGAGATGCGGTGGAAGGTGGACGGTATAATTCTGTTTACCTCGTAGCACTGAATGGGGAATCCGTGTTTAATATCTCTTTCTCTTTTCTTTTTTCCCGTTGTGCTGGTATGACTATAACTCCTGTAATCCTGACACAACAACGTCGATGAAGAAAACAGAAGTCAGAAAACGGAAAACATCAAAGTAGGCAGATGTTAGACACAAGAATTTATTTTACATCACATCCGTCGTCCCTTCCTACCTTCCTTCCTTCCCGTCATCACACTCACCACATTGTCCATTCGTAGCAAGCAAACCACGCCGCAACGCCACAAAAGAGTCATGGGCACGGTAACCCATCATCTCAAACCTCCGGAGCCTCGCCAACACAGCCCACGGCCCTCCAGCAGGATCGCTACGCAAGGCAGCCATAACATGTATCCTGCCCATACTACTATACGGAGCCGAAACATGGTACGAGGGCAGGACGAAGAACCCACGAATTGCAAGGGTTTCCCGTAAACCCACGGTCAGCACTAGGGTAGGCTGGCACCTAACCACGATAGATCAGGCACTAGTAGCAGCCACGAAGGCAATCCTCCCTGCGTGGAGGACAACACCAAACGCAGTACTGCTAAGAGAAGCTGCGATGCCGTCGGCACAGGTGGCGCTGGAGGAGGCTAAGCTCCGCTTTGCGGTTCACCTACGCACGATAGACGACAAGCACCCACTTACTAATAGAACTACACTGCCACTAGTCATACGAGGACGCGCAGCGGGCAACCGACGGATACCAAGATCGAAGGTTCAGCGCGTAGCACAACTGCTACCCGCCACACCCCGAAACGTCCTAGCCAGCCCTCACTTTTCATACGGGTCGAGGCAGGACCCAACGCAAGGGCAAGGAAAGGACATTGCTGCCCAGAATTTCACCATCTGGTGGGAGTCTCTTGGACAAGAGACAATCACTGTCTTCTCAGACGGGTCTGAACAACAAATCAACGGTACAAGGGTGGTCACTTACGGGTACGCTATATACCAGGGCCAGGCCGCCGTGGCGACTGGACAAGGCTCACTAAATGCCCTTAGCCACGTCTTCGATGCGGAGGCTATAGGCGCGTGCAGAGGACTCAAACACGCACTACAACTCTCACTGCCTAGCCAGAGGGAGATCGTACTCTGCATAGACAGCACTTCGGTAATATGGGGCATACGCGGAGCCGCCCCTGCCTCCTCCCAATGGGCGTTCCTCCAAATTCATGGAGCTATGGAGGCCTACAGCGTGAAAACGCGGTGGGCGCCGGGACACATGAAGATTGTTGGAAACGAACTCGCCGACCAGCTGGCTGACAACGAGGCCAAAGACCCGCACCAGCCATACGGCATGGCCGCCTCCCCCACAAGATCCGGTATACGAACAGTAGGCCGCCGCCTCCTCGAACATACAAGGGACACTTGGTGGAAGGATAAGAGCAGTAGGCTATCAGCATGGTACACGCAATGGCAGCTGCCATACGATACTAGGCGCACGCCCGCAGCGCTATGGCTACCCCGAAGGATACTCGCGAAAGTCCTTATGATACGCTCAACGCATGGCGACTTTGAATGGTACCACCGAAAATTCAACCACGAGGATACCTCGAAATGCCTATGCGGCAGGCCCAAGACGCCAGAACACCTAGTGTTCTGCAAGAGAGCCACAACACACTTCAAGAAGTGGCCTCTACGCCCCATCGTGCCCCCTCGCACAAGACAGGAAGGCCTAGCGTACCTCGCGCAATTAATAGACCAGCCACAAGAGTTCGAGACCTTCGTGAAGGTAACGAACTCCTTCTATGACGAGTGATTTCTATTTTTGAATTTCACAAAGACCCGCTGAATTCCTTGGCATTATTCAGTGTAGGATTCGCGGCAAAACGCCGCATAGATGCCACAACCCACACGCTCTCTCTCAAACCTTTTATTATATCTCAAATTGCCTCTTGTTACTTTTTCGTTTCTCTCTCTAAAAAGCAGTTACTGTACTGCATCGATCAAAGGCGCAAGCCACGAAATACTAGAATATTGTAGGAAAACGGCTTCAAATGGCGGGAGTCCTTTTCACGAACATGTATATAGGCAGGACATCACTCCCCTTAGATACAAAACACCTAGGAATAGGTTCCACGAGGCAAGTGCGACAGCACTATAAGACCACGGCGGGACCCGCCCGAATACCCTATGGGAGGTTACAGATAGGGCGTTAAACCATAATCAACATCAACATCAACCCATCATCTCAACTCAGCGGCTAACCCATCACACTTCCATCGTACCACAGAACGCCACCCATCCAGGCTCGTATTTCCGGCCCCAGGCCATTCTCTGAACAAAAAGGACAGAGCTAAAAACAGAAAGTGCAAGTGTGATAAGAGGCCGCCCCTTGCATGAAAGGATAGGATCTACGTATGGTATACCGATAATCACGCGATATCCACACTTAGCCTTGGAGCATACATGGCCGCCGCACGACGGTTATCGTAGTTGGGGTTTTGTATCGTGGATGGAGAAATAAACGAAAAAAACATCTGATCTAGACTTACACATTGGTGTGGTTTAAATCGGCCCCCAACCGAACCGCCTTCCTACTTGATCGAATCGGGCCTCACGTACATGTATGTTCCCCCCAAAACGGGAGAGTGGCGGTATGCCAGCATCTACCTAATGCACATTTGATCTAAACGGGTAAAAAACGCGATCGGTTTGAACAAGATGACGACGGGGGCGGGTAGATGCATTTGGTGGGAGGGAGGTGGACAGGAGATGAATGGTTGGTGGTTATGAGATGCGAAAAGTGAACACAGGCCGAAGAAGAAAAGTAGATGTGGGTATGTATGTCTTGGATTGGATAAAGGCAGACAGACAGACAGGTGGGTTGAACTGAATCCCCGGGTCAGCAGTACCGACAGACTGGATCCCAATATCCATCAACACCACAAACTTTTTGAAAAAGCAAACAACAGACACCATATCACAAACAGATCAGTGGCTACAGACCCCAGGTAGTCTAAAAAGATACAAAGTTTCTTTTCAATAAATCTGGACTGGAATGTGTCTGTTTTCTTTACTTAAAATACCGCCAACGAATGAACAAAAAAACCAAGGAGGATGGTTGCATCTTGCATCATCATCTTCCAAGTTTACCTCCTCCAAAGTTGTCGCCATTTATGACGCTTTAACAAAAAGTGTGTATATCCAGCGCTGATGACTTTGCGATCAATCCACTCAAGGGAATAATCCTCCTTTCTCGTTTTCTCTTTCCTAATTGCCTGCCCTTGTGGAGATGATGGACATGGGCATCCCCCATCACCATCGTTCAAAGTCATGGACTTTCAAGTCCATCTACTCACACCAATAGTCGGTTTGTTTTAACAAGACACAACTTCAAGGCGAAGCGGTCCGCGCCATCTAAACCTACCAGGATAGCCAAGTCCCTCACTCCTTGTCCGAGGTGCCGAGGCTGAGAGAAAAAGCGTCCTACAACTGTTCCTCTTGCACTTTGGTAACTTCCTCCCATAGCTGCTTTGCGTTTTCGGCTTTGAGCTGTGGTCATCATTGTAAGTATGCGTCCAAATCGATTACCAACTCAGGAAGAGTACGAACCTTGAGCAAGTGCATCTCCAGTTTGCCTTCAGGGTTTGGCGAGTTGAAGAGTAACCGCGTGTCGTTTGGTTTCTCGCCCTTGGCATCGCCGCCAAAGACCATGTTACGCGTCACAGACGCATTGAGAAGCAATCGATGTGTTCCTTCTGCTCGGAGGACGAAACGGGCTTTCTTGGGTTCGTCGACGGTGATGTTGAACTTGAATGTCCCTACACCTCGCTCTTTCCATGCTCGATTCTGTCCCTCGCCCGACATGTGGTATAGCCTGGCACGGCCCATCCAAATTGTCTCCTCGCCTTCCTCGCCGGTTTCTTGCGCTGTGACAAGTCAGTGGATAGTTCATCATAGACTGAAGCAACGTACGTTGTTGTGAAAGGAGAGGCTGGCTCGTTTGGCGCTCCTCCTTGTCATTGCCCTTTTCTAGGTCTTCATCATCTCCATCTTCGTCGTCAGACTGCTCCCCAATAGCTGCTGCTCCGAAGGGTGTTTCCTTTTCTTTTAGACCCTTGATCTCAAGGTTGCCACCAGGCGCGGCAAAAGAAGTTCCTGTCTTGGACCCACCAAGACCGCCGAAACCGCCACCCAACGATGAACCAAAGGTAGCTCCACCAAAGGATGATGTACCGGAGCTTCCAAGTCCGCCGAATCCACCACCAGTTGAGGTAGAGGTAGCTGTACTTCCTGCAAAAGAAGACAATTTACCGCCGCTCCCCGCACCGAAGGGTGAGTTGGACCCCGACTTTGAACTGCCGAATCCACCAAACGGAGAAGCAGTCGAGGTTGAGAAGCCTCCAAAACCAGATGATTTGAACTTGTCGTCGGACGTCTGCGGTAATGTCTCGGGTTTCTCAGAAGGCTTTGAGGTGGCAGGTTTGGCGGCCATGGCGGCGAAGGGCGATGATGCGGAGAAATTGGCAAAGCCGCTTCCTGGGGGTATCTGGTACATATATTAGTTTCATTAAGATACAAACCGACCGGGTTGCATACCTTGGTCTTGGAGTCGGGAACGTCAGTGGAAGACTTGTCGCCCTCTTTGTCTCGTAACCGTTTGGTGTCTCGCTCCTCGCCTTGTGCCTTCTCCACAGGCTTTCCGTTCGCAGATGCACCTTCCGAAGTCTCTGTCGCGGCTTCGTTGTCGTTCTCGATCTGATCGCGTGTTCTCTTATTTTTCGGACTCGTTTCGGTGCCAGAGGCCTTGTCAGTCGTAGCTGTGGCCGAAACACTCTTGTTAGGCGATGTCATTTGCTCGTCAGTGTCGGTCTCCTTGATGCTTGAGATTGCGGTTGAAGTAGGCTTCACGGGCATAGCAGCCTCCAAGTCCTTTCGGATATCCCTTGACCTTTTTCGCATATGCGGTCCAGGCGGCTTCTTTTCTGAATGCTTATCCGCATCGGCTTCGTCTTCAAAATCTTCACGGCTGCGCTTTCGCCGTAAGCGCCCGCGCTCGCTGTCTGATCCCGACACACTCTGGTCTCCTATTTTGGCGCTGCCATTGGTCGCCTCGCTCATGGGCTGGTCGAGGCCGCGAAGAGCATCTGGCTTGGGCTGGGTGTCAATTTGGGTGTCTTTGAGCTTCTCCCGCACATCTTTTCCTTCGCTGTCGCTGCTCTTATCGCTCCGTGCTGGCGAAGCCGATGCTGATTCTATGGTTTTCTTTGGTTCGGTAGTGGAGGCGGTAACTCGGGCTGCTGCCTGTTGCTCCTCGGGCGTGTCCGTCATTGCGTGAGATGTGTGGTTTTGCAGATTCCAGCAGGATGCTCTATGCGCTCCTCTTGGGCTGTACGTTGCCCGAAGTATGTCTAGGGGTGCAGGCGTAGAAAGCGGGCGCTGTGCATGCGGGCGCTGAGTTTTGTGTGAAGAATCTAGCAGTGTCGAGCACAAACTGACACGTTATGCGCTTGAATACGAACGATAGCAATTACGATCGGAGGTGAAGGTCAAGCTGCGGCGGGTGATTGCGACAATGGCGGAGAGCTGGTGCTGCGGCGAGGCTTGTGGTGGGCCAACTTGACTGACACAGGACGTGATGGGCGTTACGGTGTCGGGGTATGAAGAAGACGTCTAAAAACGCTGCGGGTCTCTGGTGCAGGCCTGCCTCGTTCGTTCAGCGGGAGCAAGTCGATCAATCCGTGGTTAGCGGAGTCGGTCAATGCGCTCTAGTACCCAATTTCCACTCCAATGCGCCCATGCAACAATGTTTAATTAGACGCTCGAGGCCAGAACGCGTCGGCAGCGTGGGAGTGGTAGCGAACGCGCAGCGGATGTGGTGAGTGGGCAGCTGGGTGCAGAGTGTTGGCGCTTCAAGTCGGTCGTGGTCGAGTGTGTTGTCGCTGCAAAGGCCAATGACGAAGTGGGGAAGACAGACGGCTAAGCATGGGCGCGGGTGGCAGCGACTCGTGCATGTACATGTACCTATACAGAACCAGAGCCGCTGTAGGATTACATGCATGTCAATTTTAACACCTTTCGCCAGGCTTCAATATGGGCAATCATATGTCGAGCATTCGAGCATAGTTAAAGTTGCTAGTACTGAAGTAGATACCCGAAGTGTAATATCCTTAGACCCATAGCTTGCCATGAACGCCTGGCCCCAACACAACGAGTACCAAACCCAACTACTTTTACACTTTTACACTTTGACATGCGACAGGAGTTGGCGCTAGCTGATGAAGCAGAGACAGCCCAGCGCAACGTAAAACACAAATAAGGGGTATACTGCAATCCCGACCCGGTTCCTCACCACGCCTGACCCGCCCATGATGCTCACGCCTGCCGCCAACGACCACGCGATTAGAACGAGGTAGACGGGGATGCGCACTATCACGGGTATGCCGACTGCGCTGAGAATCGACGCGATGACGAGCGGGAAGAGCGTGTAGCCGATGATGGAGATGGACTGGAAGAAGGCGCTGGGTCGTGTTAGCATCTATTTTACATGTGCTGGAGGAACGAGCGTACATGTTACCGCCTAGCAGCTTGATCTGCAGAGTCACGACCGCCTCCCCTATCCAGACCATGGCGAAGACGCCGGAAAAGACAAGATCCTTCTGATCGCCCTTTGCTCCCCATGAGAGGAACAGACTGAGTAGTAGGCAAAAGATCAGCGGTCCCCAAAGGTCCCAGTCTCGTAGACCTTCACTCATACCGCCTTGCAGGATGACGTCCGCATCTGGCCATCTCCCTGCAATGTTTCGTATGCCAGAGCCGTCTGATTCACCGCGCTCTGCTGCCCCAATGCCTCCACCGCGTTGCATCATGCCGCCTAGCAGGTACTTGGGGTACAGAACCTGCTTCATCTTCTCCCATATCGCGAAAATGTCTCGCGATAGTGTCTCCCATACTGTCTCGTCAATGGTGTTGGTGGGTGCGCGTCGGTCCTCTCCAGGGATGCTCGATGTCAAGTAGGATTGCGTTTGCGCGCCTCCACGCTGAATGTTCCCCGTCAACGGCGCGCGGTCCGAAGTCGCCTGTAGTGGGTCATCGAGGTCATCAAGAGTAGCTGGTGATGGTTAGCCTCCTGGTCGACTACCACCTCATCTATGCTGGGTAGGCAGCTGCATGCAACGCACCATCGTCCGGGTCAATTAGATCACGCTCCACCGCATCGCTATCGTAGGGGTTGCTAGCCGTTGCGGCACTTGGCATCATAGCCGCCATGTCTGGTGAAAACCCTGCGTTCACGGGTCGCGGGCTAGTTCTCCAATCGGCAGGTATTCGTGGGTTGAGTAGAGGCTCTGCTGTCCTCAACGGTTACGCGCAAGCTCTCGGATTACACCTTGAGGGTGCGCTACCCAACTCGGTTAGCATCCCGCCGACAGGGAAAGCTTGACCCCGTTAGCGCGCAGACCTTCCCGAGTCACGCCTGGCGTCACTCTTCACTACTAGTCAGTCACGGCCATACCCCGTCTCACACGGCCAGTTGCTGTTCGTATATATTCCTTCAGCAACCACCGTTTGCATCGTATATGTAGTCCACCCCCCACCAACGCTTAATTTTCTACCCCGGAACAATTAGACCATCATGACGGACCCAGTCCTGAACGACATCTCCCACAGGCGCTTCAACCTGCTGCGAGGTAGTTGGATATTAGTATCTCCGCATCGCACAAAGCGGCCATGGCAGTAAGCATTGCGACCTAAATCTTCGTGAACTTCATACTGACATTCTACAGAGGCATGCAAGAGTCCCCGTCCAGGACTACCCTGCCCGACTATGACCCAGAGGTATGACTTATCTGATTCATGACTTGCATAGTGACAACACTCATTCATGATAGTGCTATCTATGTCCCTCAAACACGCGGGCCAATGGCGAGCACAACCCCAAGTTTGAGCACACTTATGTCTTCGTCAATGACTACAGTGCCGTCATGGAGGACCAGCAGGAGTACCACCCAGACACCAAGGATGGATCTCTCGCGTCTCGACTTCTTCGCGCAGAAGCCGTCACTGGAAAGTGCTATGTCATCTGTTTCTCACCCTCTCACAACCTCACTCTGGCCGACATGACCCCAGGCCAAATCCTCCCGATAATAGAGACCTGGACCAACCTATATGTCGCACATCTGGATCCCACGTCGCCCTTGGCTAAACTGGCATCTGCTACGACTATTCCTCCTCTATCACAAGGCGCCGTTAGTGCACCAAACGCACAGTATCGCTACATGCAAATCTTTGAGAACAAGGGCTCTGCAATGGGTTGCTCAAATCCGCATCCCCATGGCCAAGTTTGGACGACTACATCGCTCCCAGAAGAACCTGCGCTTGAGCTTGTACAATTGAGCAAATATCGCAGAGAGCAAGGGGGTTGTCACATGCTCGTTGACTACGCCGAACTGGAGTCCAAGGAGAAGGCACGCACAGTCTTTGAGAACGAGAGCTTCTGGGCTGGTGTTCCGTACTGGGCACTCTGGCCCTTTGAGATTATGATCGTCCCCAGGCAACACAAGCGGTCGTTGGTCGACTTCACCAAGGAGGAGCGTGCACAATTAGCAGAGTGTATAGCTGAGATTACGAGGAGATACGATAACCTCTTCGAAACACAGTTTCCGTATAGTAAGTCAGCGATATTCGAACCTTGTGATAGGGGTAGCTAACGATTCTAGGTATGGGACTTCACCAAGCTCCTCTGGCGGGTACAGCCGATGAGATCGAGTCGAGCCACTTCCATATCCATTTCTACCCACCACTTCTGCGAAGCGCCACAGTCCGCAAGTTCCAAGTCGGCTATGAGATGATGGCCGAACCTCAGCGCGACATCACACCCGAACAGGCTGCAGAGCGCCTCAGGACATGCGGCGGCGAACTCTATAGGAAGAAGCTCGAATCTTCGCCCAAGACTAACGGTGTTAATGGCGTCAATGGTGTCAACGGCCACTGAAGCATATTGAAGCATTTTCGACAACTTTGCAGCGTTGTTATTTCATTTCCTTATTTCACGAGCATTCGTAGTTGGGGCGCTGTAGTTTGCACACACCATCACAGCACTTCCCCACGAATGGGAGAAAGATACCCCAGACACGAAGAAGAAACAACCACTGCAAGTGGATAGATGCATAGGCATGACAGCGGGGATTGCTGCAGCGGCGTTAGCTGGCATAGATGGCAAAATTTATGATCTCTCCATCATCCACCTCACCCATGTCCATATCCTCGTATTCGAGCCATGTATGCAAATCACCCCAAATACCATATACAAACGCACATCTATGATCCCATGATCAAGCCAGCATCCCGCGGCTACCATCGCTACTCGTACGTCATACAGCAGCACAAGTCGCGGGAATGCATCGGAGAAGACGTGCGTGTGCCCCACCTTCCCTGTCCAGCTGTTCTCGAACCCCGCGCTTCCAACTAGCCCAGGCAACCTACCAACCTTTCCAACTCTCTACAGCTTCAACAAATACACACATAAACGTATGTAGTATCCCTCCTCTTTTTCATTTTAGAAAGTGGGAACTGACATGGTACCAGCCTTTCTACAAGACAAAGCACGACCGACACCATGACAGGCGCAAAGTTCCAAGAAGTCTACAAGAAGGTCAGCGACATGGGCACCAGGCTGAAGAAGGAGGGAAAGAGCGGTCCTAGTAATGATGAGCAGTTGCAGGTATGTGCCTTGTTCTTCTTCTTCTTCTTCTTCTTCTTCCTGATCCCTGCCTTCCTGCTCTTCGTCACTTCGCTCCAGGTCGAGTTGGAAGTCTGATGAGAGGGCAATAAGAAGAGGTGGACTCGAAGGGTGGATGCTTGGAATTATCTGGAAACGGAATAGTTGGCTGATATGAAACCCGGTGATAGCTCTACGGATACGCCAAGATCGCAGAGGGCAAGGACTTCAGCGCGGCGTCTAAGCCTGGAATGTTCGATATGGCTGTATGTCTTCCCTCCTCTCCTCCTTCCTACCTCCCGAATTCCCGAAAAATCCTACAAGAGTCCATTTAAGGGCCATGGCATCACATCAGCCACGTGTACTGGGTAGAGTACAAGAAGAAACGGCAGCTGACACATGACTACAGGGCAAGGCCAAGTACAACAAGTGGAAGGAGTTTGTCGATGCTGGTGTGAGCCAGAAGGACGCCGAGGACAAGTACGTCAAGGTTGGCGAGGATATCTTGGCCAAGTACGACGTCTGAGATAGTCAATCTACTGGAGGAGGTCATAGGCATATGATAGGGATATATGTGGAAGTCTCGGCCACAGCCAGGATAACACTTGGTTGAAATGATCATGAATGGAAAGCAATATTATCATTATATTCTTGCGGTCGAGGTGTTCTCGGTGACTTTATATGTTATACTAACATGTATGATCTCAACTGCACTGCTGTATTCGTCTGTGAGACATTATCCCCCTATGCTTGACTCAATGACAGCCTAGTTTGCCCATGACTCTTCAACGTCCATACCCAGGCCAAAAGTGACCGTTTCGATCCGGCTCTGTATACGCCATGGTCGCACACCAAGGCTTCTCATCCGCAGTGTAGGGCTTGAGTGGTAAATCGTACGGCATACGAAGACCAACAGTCGTCTTTATCCTCGTTTCTCCTACCTCTTTTCCCTTTGTATTCACACGTGCATCTTCAACCTTGGGCATATCCTTCCCAAACACCGGTACCATACTCACCTCATTCACCCCCTTCGCCGTCTCAGCAAACAAAGCAGGCCACACCACTACACCTGTTTCCCACGACTGAATCCAAATCTCTTCCTTCTTGTTGACTGTATCACCCCATGCTTGCTTGCTGAAGTTTGCGCTCGTCAACATTGCCCAGTCGATTGCCTTTTGCTCTTCATCGCTGAAGCGTATGTAAGTCTTGATGTGGGGTGCAGCTGGGCCGCGGTGAGCCTCTTGCTTGGAAACGTTTGTTAAGGATGAAGCTGAAGCTGAAGGCGTAGACGTCCAGTGACAGAGCATTGGGTGCATATACTCTAGCTGTTTCTGCTGTTGAGCTGACTGCAGTTTCCAGTGTATCGAACCGCCTGAGCCATATCCGTTGAGAGAATTTCGTATTTCTTCTGGAGTTGGGAAGATGATGCTGAATTTGGGAGACGGCGCTTTTGTAACGCTGGTATCGCGTTTTGTGAAGGTGGAGGCTTTCGTGGAGGACACCGTGGCATTCTCTGGGACTGAAACTGTAGCTTTGGAGTGGCTGGAAAGCACAGATTGGAAATTGGATAACCATGTGGGTGCTGCGCCTAGTGTTGCGATAGAGGAAACCTGTGCAACGATGTGAGGAGGCGAGGATGCTCTTGCTTTGGAGATGGGAACGGTCGAGAGTATTTCCTTCAGTCCCAGCCATCCAAAGGAATTATTCGATGAAACGGCTCTTTCTGGCTTCTGTCGTGATGGCGCGCTTCCTATGAAAGCCGCCCTGATGCTCGAAAAGTCGTAGTCTCCGAGTTGTGCAGCCAAACCCTTCAGTCGTTTTTCGTACGCACCGATATATCGGAGTAAGTCAGACTTGAAACGCTGGCCGCTTCCAATTGGATAAGTCTTGTCAGAATCCGATAGAGACTGCGATGCCTGAGACAGCATTGGGAGTTGAGGGGATGCCCATACGGCTTGTGTCATGTTCGCCCAGTCGCGGTGGATCATGTTGGCTGTGTGGATGACAACCTGTGCTGTATCATCGTGCCGGAATAGGATGAGCATCTTAGAATGATGAGTACCGAAGGGATCAGGTATGTAAGCACTCAGCAGCTCGATGTTGGGATACCGCTCTGCTGTTTCCTAGAACATCTTAGCATCGCAGACATAAAATACTAGATGCCAGTGACTTACTTACCAGCAACGATATTCGGTTTGCATCATCCCTCTTCCAGAAGCCATGTACAATCTTGACCTTCACCATGTCCCGTACATCTCTGTCCAAGTGCTGCCTGTAGGCTTGTTAATCGCTTCATTTAGATTCATCACGATCTTGTAGGTTTCGGCACAGACTTTAGAAACTTACATGACAAAGTCCAGGTCGAACAAAAAGTTGAAGTTCCAGCACTCCTTGATCAGGGGATCGCCCAACAGGTCAGCCAAACCCACTGTATCAACATTCTGGTGATCAGATAACTTCTCAATCCTCGTGAGCTGTATTGGTGACGGAATGAACCTTGTCCCCTTATCTTCGTCTTTCTCTTTCGCAAGTTGTTCCAGACCTGTAGGCGTTTGTGCTGGACGCGAGACTAATATTTGTTTCGGTACGTCATCGAAATTCCAAGTGGGCACAAACGAAGGTGAAGGTTCAGGACTTCGACGTTGGATTAGTGGTGGGCTAATCGGCCTATCGAGACGCTTGGTGAGGCTTGTTTGGATCTTGGTAGTCGCTATTTCCTTTTCTGGTGCATTTGCATTTAGCTTGCGGCGCTTTGCAGACGGACTACCTGCAGTGTCTTGTTGCGCCATTGCAGCAATGGCTTGGTGCTAATGGGGTTCATTCAAAGTGAGAGAAGATGGTTTGAAGCTTAGAGGTAATAGAAACGAAAGACATCTGGAATGTTGACGTTGAGCACAGACCTAGAAACTTCAAAGGCAGGTGCCCTGGAATAACCACGGCGTTAGGAAAGAAGCAAGCACAACCCCACCACTATGAAATTTCAGTTTGAAATCATCAAGAACAGATCACACGCAGAGGTCACATTATTGAGATCATGGATATCATTGTCGGCCTAAGCCATAAAGCTCACTTCGCAAAGCATGATGCTTCACAAAGGCTACGAACATACACTGTCTAATGGTGCTAGAGCATCATTCCCTTGATGCTCGCCAGCGAACGCAATGAAAGAAAAAAATTATTATGCCTACTCAAGGTGGAATGGCATCCCAAACGCCCGCCTCGCTAAATCAAAACGTATGGATATCTATGCCGCGCTGGCGCTGAGCATTGGTTGCGCAACCTTGGTAACCTGGTTGCCGGCTCGGATAATTGGGTTTCCTTGCTCATCTTTGACGATGTTGACTTCCTTGTTCTCCTTTTGAGCGCGCTTCCAGATCTCGACCTCGCATCCACCACGGATGACACCGACCCTCATGGTGGAGAGCAGGTTGTGGGCAGCGTTGGAGTGGAAGTAGACACCACCGTTGAACATGGCAGTAGCATCCTTGCCAATGCCGCTCTTGATCAGGGTCTTGCCACCAGGGTGCTCGTTGATGAAGTCGGTAACGTCATGAACAACACCGGCAACAGCGATCAAGCCACGGCCGTTCTTGGCCTGCTCAACGTATTCGTCCCACTCAATGACAGGAAGCTGCTCAAGAGGTACACCCCAGTCGAGCTTGGCGCGCTTCTGATCAATCTTCTTCTGGAGCTGCTGAACACGGCCCTTTTCGATCTCGTTGGAACGGAACTGCTTGAGGTTGGAGGCGAGACCGAGCTTAGACCACAGCCAGATGGACCACTTGGTGGGGTCGTACTGGTGCCACTCGATAGCGTTGCGGTAGTCTGAGGGGAACTCGTGGTGGAAGTTGTGGTAGCCCTCACCGAGAGTGACGAGCGCAGTGATGACATGGTCCCTGGGGCTGTTGCGGTCGTCGAAGGGCTGGTCACCGAGCCAGTGGGCGAGCGAGTTGACGCAGAAGGTGGCCTGCTGGACGAAGAAGATGCGAAGGATACCGGCGTAGATGAAGCCACCCTTCCAGTCGTTCCACAAAAGTCCAGCGACAGCAGAGGGGAAGATGAGACCCATGAAGATGACGACCTTGATGTAGTGCTTGTGTTGCCAGACGACGACGGGGGTCTTCGTTCAGGTCGGTGATGTCGGTGCGGCCGATGCGCTTGGGGTTCTGCTTCATGACCATCCAGCCAAGATGGCTGTAGAGAAGACCCTTGCGAACGCTGTAGGGGTCCTTGTTGGTGTCGGTGTAGCGGTGGTGGGCACGGTGGTCGCGACTCCACCAGCGGATAGAGCCCTCAACAGCGCCACCGCCGACAAGAGCGAGGAAGACGCTCAGTGGCAGCGAGGCGTTGTACGATTTGTGCGCCCAGAGACGATGGTAACCAGCTGTGATACCGAGACCGGTCCAGAAGTAATATACCACGGCCCAGAGGGCTGTCTGCCATCGCAACGGGGTGAAACAGGCCGCGACGCAGCCGGCGAGAGGGATGCCAATGATGAAGGTGACCTTTGCGAGTTGTTAGCCGCCGTATTCAATTGCAACCACGGGTCTGAACTTACGTTTAGCCAGTTGACGTGCTTGTACCAGTTTGCCTTTGTGATGGGTGTGTCGGTAATGTGCGGCTTCTTAGGGTCGTACTTTGGGTTGCGGTTTGGCTCAGAGGTGCTGGCCATAGGAGACGGCTGCTTGATGTATTCGGGATCCACAGCCATCATGCCGGCGGTAGGTTGGTGGGAAGGCATGTTGATGGTTTAGATAGAGAAGCCGGAGAAATAAAGGGTAAATGACAGATTCGAGGGGGGTGGTGGAAGCGACTAGTGGCTCAAAAAAATATTGAGCTCCGGTCAGCTTCCGGTTGGTGAGTAACAAAGCTCCGACAGCGATGGAAAGCTTCACCACGTCCGAGTGAACGACGAGGTAGAAGGTAAGTGGAAGGAGCAGTAGAGGATGGAGAGGGCAGCAAAGACGGGCGGCAGCACAATTAATAAGGCGGCAACAATGCTGGCTTTCTCAACACTATGCGGGCCATAAGCGAAGCTTGGGACCTTGCATGGAGCCCTGAAGGTCGCTCGAGAAGCAGCAATCGCCATAACCTTTGTCATATGCGGTTTAGCGCCAAAGTACACGACGCCTCTCAGGGTCCCGGTGCGAGAAAATTTCGGAGCTAAGGCCTGAAAGCGTGTTGATCTCGCCATCAGAACGGTGCGGGTGGCGGTGCGAGTATCTCTTTTCCCCAGATTCTGAGCAATCGCAGGCCCTCGCACTACACTCGGCGAAATCACCACGGCCGCTCACACGCTACTGTTTCCACTCCAGCCATGCCACCAGTGAAAGAGCGGTCTGGTGCAAAAAACATTGCTCCCAGTGGGTGCTGGGTGGGCGTAGAAAGCGCACACCGTGGTAAAATCAGAGTCTCGTCATCCATCGCTTGCTAGCTGTCCTCTTCGGCCGCCATACCCCACTCGACCACACGCCGCATTGACTGGGTAGGAGCCGGCCCAAGTCGCAAACATGCGTATGCCTGATTCCCGGAGTCCCGTTGAGAAAGTTGTTGACATGCGCTATCGCGGGTATCCTGCAACCTTACGTATGTCGACCCTGTATTACAGCTTGAAGGCTGCGGGTTGGGAACTTGGCCATGAACACCAGGTTTCGATGCGGTGGCAAAATGCTCCCTAGCAGAGACACAGTGGGCCGTGCCAATGACTCTCAAATGTACATGGGTAATGGGAAGATTCGCCCAAGCTACAGACACGGCAACGTTGAAGTGTCTTCTGCTTGGTGCCACATAGTCGGCATCTGGCACTGCTGGCCTTTGAAATTCGGGTGCGCTTCGCAAGCTTCTCTCTTTTGGGCGTGGCGCTTCCCAACACCCGCTACCTTATCCTCGGGCATATCAATCTGATGCGTTTCTACTACCATAAGGTTGAGATGGATGCACCACGGTACGAATGAGGGAATCCTTATCTACCTCGGCTTCCAGGTCACTGTCTCACACCACCTAATCATCGATCGCTGCGCCTGCGCCGTCATACTTGAGCACCGCGCATCGAGCCCATCACTCGAGGAACTGGACTATGAGCGTTACAGGGTCAGATTGCGGGTAGGGCTGAGTGGCAAACTCGGGACGTTTGTTGGCGTTGGCCTGCAAGCTGCAAGCTTCAAGCTGTTGAAACAGTCATAGAGCTGGCATCTACTCGCCATCCTCCGAGCAGCCAACAACCTAGTTTTCCCAGCAAGGGTAGCATACCTCGACAGGTAGACAGGATGATGGCTGATGTCGCTGCAATCACGTGACACAGTTAGGACCAGACCACATGCAGACTGTCCGCAACTGAGACTGCATGTATGCCTACAAGCACGAGTATGACATCTAAAGAACAACCAAGCTCTTTCATGACGTTGAATGAGCTCATGGTGGTGATAAGGCGCGCTAACAGCTCAGTAGGTAGAATGTATGCTGGCCCATGGATCCTCCTGTAGCTAGAAGTATCCCTGATCAGAATTATCTGTTCTGTGAACGTCGTCAGCATAATCTTCGAAATATATTGGTATGGAAAAGGGACCAAGTTTCTCCACTACATTTTCTGCATGTGCTCAAAAGTACACGTGCAACAGAGACTAACAATCCACACTTGACCACAAGGCTCCGATAACCGGACCGGCTGTTCACGCACCGCGGCGCGGCTTTCGTCCCTGAATTGTTGCGCAAAGTACCGCCTTCTCGGTGTCCGGCGAACAGCATGTTCAGCACACCTTCACCATCAGATCCAGATGCAACTTCCATCCACCATGAGGTGGGATGCATCTCCTGCAATAATTCCCGTCCTCTATCGTCGGAGAGGACCGACCGCGCAGGGCGTTTAGGCCGCCACCGACCAATCACCTTCTTGCATGCTATCAGTTCAGACGATCGTTTTAGCACATACGCGGGTTTCGCCCTCCTGGCACTGCGAAATGCGCACCTTAGCGACGATTCTGCCGTGGAGAAGAGTAATTACTCCCGGCGGCACACGACTATCGTCGGCCAGCTCCAATCTCTGGCGGCCCGTGGGTGGTCTTGGGAGCTGAGCTAAGACCTTGTCCCTGAAGAATTGTGTATCGTGAATGATAGAAGTTATTCTCCATATCTTCTATATAGAATGAGGACGTAGCTCTTTCGGTTCGAGCCGTCACTCCACAGCGAAACACGCCGGCCAAACCTCCTATCTAGATCAAGTGGGCCATCCCCACGTCCTTCTTTTCAGATATCGAACTTTCTATCGCAATCACGATCAAGAGCGTTTCTGTCAGTGGCAAGTAGCATTGCATGCGACACACCCGGAGCCGACCAGCTTGTTTCAGCCCAGCAACCGGTCGCGCATTTCGATATCTCCAGCCTTCGCCAATCTTATCGGGATTTTTTATATCGAGCGAATCGTTGTCCAACGTTATTTACCAGTATCCATAATAGAAGAGGGTGCTTGAAACAGTCAGATTCTTCTCCGCTGGGAACCTGCAAGGAGTCTGGAGCGAACATGGCAGATATGATCGGACCAGACCATACGCCAAAGCGTAGCTTTGGAGAAAAGGCACGACGTGCCGTAAAGGCCTTCACTACAAAGTATGGCATATTCCCAACCTGACGATTTCAGTCTAACAACAACAGAGATGGACTGGTCGGCACATACGACTATGCCTTTCTTTTCCGACCAAATCTTCCATTTATGAAGAAGGAACGTAGAGCGGCTCCTTTCTTCGGTCTAAATGACCGCATGCCCGTCCTACTGGCCCTTCTACTTGGATTTCAGCATGCCCTCGCCATGTTAGCAGGTGTCATTACACCTCCCATCATCCTCGCCAATGCCGCCAACTTGAGTTCAGACCAACAGCGCTACCTCGTCTCGACTTCGCTCGTAGTATGCGGTATCTTGTCCTCTATTCAAATCACGCGATTTCACATCTGGAAGACTCCGTACTATATCGGTACCGGCCTGATCTCCGTGGTTGGCACTTCTTTTGCTACTATTCCGGTGGCGACTGGGGCGCTGAGCCAAATGTATGCAACTGGCTTCTGTCCAACTGCTGCTGATGGCACAAAACTTCCTTGCCCAGACGGCTACGGTGCTATTCTGGGTACATGTGCTGTATGTGCCTTGCTCGAAATTGGCATGTCCTTCACTAGTCCGCGTATCCTGAAGAAGATCTTCCCTCCCCTAGTCACTGGACCAACGGTTTTGCTCATCGGTGTCAACCTTGTAACTACTGGATTCCAAAACTGGGCTGGTGGTTCTGGAGACTGTCAGTCTCGTCCCGAATCTGGTCTCTTTCGTCTCTGCCCCAACATCAACGCACCCCATGCTCTTCCTTGGGGTAGCGCAGAGTTCATCGGTCTCGGTTTCAGCGTCTTCATCACAATCATCATCTGTGAGCGCTTCGGCGCTCCAATCATGAAGTCCACTGCTGTCGTCATTGGTCTCTTAGTCGGATGCATCATCGCCGGCGCCACAGGCTACTTTGACAAATCCACCATTGACGCTGCACCGGCAGCATCCTTCATCTGGGTCAACACATTCAAGCTCACTGTCTACGGGCCCATTGTCCTACCCCTCCTAGCCGTCTACATGGTCTGCGCCATGGAAGCCATCGGCGACATCACCGCTACATGCGATGTCTCGCGTCTCGAAGTCGACGGCGAAATGTTCGATTCCCGCATCCAAGGCGGTGTCCTCGCAGACGGTCTCAACGGCATGATTGCTGCCCTCTGCACAATCACGCCCATGTCGACTTTCGCACAGAACAACGGCGTCATTGCCCTCACGCGGTGTGCGAATCGTAAAGCAGGTTATGCATGCTGTTTCTGGTTGATTATCATGGGTATCTTTGCCAAGTTCGCTGCTGCTCTTGTGGCTATTCCTTCTGCGGTGCTAGGCGGTATGACGACTTTCCTCTTCAGCGCTGTTACTGTCAGTGGTATCCGTATTATCAGCACTATGCCATTTACCCGAAGGAACCGCTTTATCCTCACCGCTGGCTTTACGCTTGGGTTCGGCGCTACTATGGTTCCTGACTGGTTCGCTCACGTCTTCACTTACGATGGGCCCAACGCGGCGCTCCTGGGATTCTACAACGCCATCGTTCTTATCATGGAAACTGGATTCGCGGTTGTCGCTTTCGTCAACATTGTGCTGAATCTTGTTCTGCCCGAGGAGATTGAGGATGAGGAGACGCCCGAGTTGACGGCGAATGAGGTTGATGAGCCAAAGGATAGGGAGGAGTGGGCGAGGATTAGGAAGGTGGCTGAGGATGTGGAGGGGAGGGCTAGTTCGGAGATTACGCCTGGTAAAGCTGCGTAGGGGGAGTTTTCCTTTAATGTCTTTTCGTTTCGTTTGAAAAGCGGTTGTTCTTCGTAGCGTATATTCTCGAACCACGATTCGTATTTATCATTGGGCGGTTTTGAGTGAGATACCCTCACTGGATAGATAGATAGTCTTTTACCTATCTCCTTCCCAAATACATGACTTGTTAATCACCCTCCCTAACCCCTCACCTCACAACCCCAACATGAACCACAAACCCACTCCCCTCCCTCAACCCCTCACTCAGCAACCCATCCGGAACCCTCCAAACCCAAAACTTTGCATGAAAACTCCTCAGCCACGCTTCAAAAACATCTGGACTACGTAGCTGCTGCGCTATAAGACAGAGTGTAGGTTTCTGATCACCACCACCACCCTCTTCTTCGTCCTTGTTGTTGTTGTTGTTGTTGTTGTTCTCGCGTAGTTTACACAAGGCAGCACACGTGCTATTCAGCGGTTCGATGAGCGCCTCGTTGTATATGCAATCGCATGCTATGACTAAGTCGACGGGTGAGAGATTAGATACGGCATCTGTTTCCCAATCCAATTCTTGAACAAGGATACGGTCTTCTGCACTAGTCTTCCCATTGGACTTTTTACCCGCCTTACCGTTCCCCTTGCCCTTACGTTGCGGGGAAGGAAACACGGTATCCAAGTTTTCGACAATGTTCTGACGGAGTAGCTTGAGCACGTAGGCTTGGTCTGTGGCTGTGTAGCGGTGGACTTTTGGGGCGAGGGAGAGGGCGACGATGCCGGAGACGCCGGCGCCGAGCTCGAGGATGGTGGATTGGGGGGCGAGGAGGGAGGAGGTGAAGAGGAAGTTTTGGGGCGAGGAGATCCAGGTGGAGAAGAGGGGGGTTACTTTCCATACTACTGTTTTTTTGGGGGTGTGGTTAGTGGAGGTGTTTGGTAGAGAGTGGGGTATGAGGGCGTAATGGCTGTATGCGCCTGGGTGACATAAAATACTTGACAACTCTATTCCATTCCTAATAGGTGTATCTGGGGCCTACAATGTTATCTACTAGAGTGTCAAGTATTTTATGTCACCCAGGTGTATGAATGGGTTTGCTGAGCTAGCTGCGGATGTCCCTGTCTAGGTGTTTCTCATATGCTTGTTGCACGATACTACATTTGTCTATGCTAAGGCTCAACATCACCCCAATGTGGCTGTGTGTGATTCCAAGAAAGGCCAAGGCATAGCTGAGAATGAAAGCCAAGAACAACAAACAACGAGAAAGTCTGGGGTAACACATGACCCCGTTCATTCTGGGGCAAAGTTTACATACCTGCGCCTGTGGTTCCTGCCTTGCGATCCGAAGTCAGAAGCCCCCTCGATTGATGGATTACTAGATCATGACCCGCCACGCTGACTTCCAATGTTGCAGCCTGGGAATCGATGAAGCCGAGCGACTGAGAGGGTATGGCTTGCGAGAAGATGATGAAAGCCTCTACATGATTTGATGAGTAAATCTACCGATATGACCTTTGTCTTGCCTGAGGAGGAGTTGCACCGTGGCGAGCGAATGGCGAGGACAAAGGAATGCATTGAGCCGAGGACCAGTATAAGGTTGTGATTCGGTGCATCTTGTCGAGGTACTCTTACACACCTTCTTCAGGATCCAAGACAGGCTCTGAACCTAGTATCTCTGTGAGACTGACCATCATGGCGAAGGGTCAGATGGACGTGGCGCTGGCTGGCCCGTTCGATATATCTGCCTTTGAGCGGATCGTGTGCTTGGTTGCCGCGCGCGCTACAGGAAGCCTCGGAAGCGCGTCAACACGATGACGGGCTCATCAATCCGCGACAGTACAGAATCCCAGCAAAACAAGATAATATGGACGATACAGGAGGCTGACAGGCTGACACGACCTGGCTAACCTTGCCGTGAGTGATGCGTTGTCGATCTTCCAAATCGCATCTTGTTCGACAAAAAAGAAGTGGAGGGGGTGCGGCTAGCCCCAGTCGCGCTCGATGCAGGAGAAGCCCAGAGCTTGCTGGTGGCTGTGAGGTCATTGCCCCAAGAAGCTCGGCCGCCCAGCACCAGGCACGTTGGATTTAGCGACGGTGAGCATAACAAGCCGCAGCTCCCCCAGCACCCCAACCTCATCCCATCCGCCATTCTCCGCTGGCGTCGATACTATTTTACCTGTGTCTTGCACTTGCTCTCTTTGCGATACCCCTTTCCCTCTATCTAGATACCCGCAATTTCACCGCCACACAAGACAGCTCCTACCCCCGAGCCGCCAACATGGTGCAAGACCTCAAGAAGCTGATGCCCCAGGCGAAGACCTACAGGTCGGGGCCATACACATGCGAAGTCCCCAACGCAGAAAAGGTCGAGGGTGAGACGATACCGCGCCGCAATCTCGCGGCCAAAGATGGACTTGTCACGAAGCCCCACGATAACGTTGAGACGCTATACGATGTCCTGCGACATTCGGCCGCCAAGTATGGCAACGCAAAGGCCGTGGGTGCGCGTCGCATTGTCAACATACACGAGGAGACGAAGAAGGTCAAGAAGATGGTAGATGGCAAAGAGCAGGAGGTCGACAAGAAGTGGCAGTACTTTGAGCTTAGCCCGTACAAGTACAAGAGCTTCGTCGAGTTTGAGAAGATGGCTCTTGCTGCAGGCTCGGGTCTCAGATCACTCGGCTTTGCGCCCTCAGACAGGCTGCATCTGTTCGCTGCCACGAGCATGCAATGGCTGGCATCCGCTCACGGTAAGGAATTACATATGATAGATGTGGGACTCGAGACTGATTTACTATAGGTGCCATCTCACAATCCATGGCCATTGTCACGGCGTATGACACCCTCGGCGAAGAGGGTCTCAAGCACTCGATGCTTCAGACCAACGCAAAGGTCATGTTCACAGACCCAGAGCTCCTACCCAGGCTTGTGAACCCCATGAAGGAGGCCAAGGATGTGCAGGTCGTCGTTTACTGCACCAAGAACGACCCCAAGCAAAAGGACATTGATACCCTCACCCAGGCACACCCCCACCTCAAGGTCATCAGCTTCGATGAGTTGGTCCAGATGGGCGAGTCGGAGCCATCCGAGCCCGTCCCTCCCAAGGCCGACGATCTGGCCTGCATCATGTACACATCCGGATCCACTGGCACACCCAAGGGTGTCATGATCAAACATCGCAACGTCGTCTCTGCTAGTACGTATCCCAACATTTTCTCTCAAAAGTCATGCTAACAACATCCCAGTCGCTGGTGTCGATGTCATAGTAGGCAAGTACCTCGGTCCCGGAGACGTCCTCATCACCTACCTCCCCGCCGCACATATCCTCGAATTCGTCTTCGAAAATGCCGTACTCTACTGGGGTGGCACCATGGGCTACGGAACCATCAGAACTCTCTCTGATGCATCTGTGCGAAATTGCGCCGGTGACATCCGTGAGCTGAAGCCTACCGTCATGGTCGGTGTCCCGCAAGTGTGGGAGACGATCAAGAAGGGCATCATCAACAAGGTCGAGGGTGGAGGCGCCCTCAAGAGCAACATGTTCTGGGGCGCATATGCGGCCAAGGGCTTCCTCTTGGGCACAGGTCTTCCAGGCAGCGGTCTTCTCGACGCAATTGTCTTCAACAAGGTCAAGGAGGCCACTGGTGGCAGGCTCCGTATCTGCATGAACGGTGGTGGACCCATTGCAAAGGAGACGCAGCGCTTCATCTCCATTGCCATTACACCCATGATCAGCGGTTACGGTTTGACTGAGACGTGTGCCATGGGTGCGCTCATGGACCCCTTGGCCTGGAATGAACACGCTTTGGGTGAGATGCCCGGCTCTGTCGAGATGAAGCTTGTCGACTTTGCCGATGCCGGCTACTTCTCCACCAACAACCCACCACAGGGTGAGATCTGGATCCGCGGTGGAGGTGTTGTGGACGGCTACCTGGACATGCCCGAGGAGACCAAGGAGAGCTTTACGGAAGACGGCTGGTTCAAGACTGGCGACGTCGGAGAGTTCAACGCCAACGGCGAGATCCGCATCATCGACCGCAAGAAGAACCTCGTCAAGACGCTTGCTGGCGAATATATTGCTCTCGAGAAGCTCGAATCGATCTACCGTTCTGCGCCTATCGTAGCTAACATCTGCGTTTATGCCGCGCAGGACCGCCAGAAGCCCATCGCTATCATCGTCCCTACCGAGCCACAACTCAAGAAGATTGCTGCGGCAGAGGGTGTCAGTGGCGATCACTTGGAAGAGCTTGTTCACGACAAGAAGATCAACTCAGCGGTTCTGAAGCAGCTGCAACAGGCGGGTCAGAAGGGTGGACTGGCATCATTTGAGATGATTGAAGGTGTTGTGTTGGCAGACGAGGAATGGACGCCACAGAACGTAAGTTTTCACCAGTCAGCAGATCAGACGAGAACTATATACTAACCATGGCACAGGGTCTCACCACGGCTGCACAGAAGCTTAACCGCAAGGGCATCTTGGAGCACTACCAGAAGGAGGTTGACGCGGCCTACGGCAAGTCGTCGTAGAGTCATGTGACAGAAGAAGAAGAAAGTTAGTCGTGCAGCAGAGAAGTTGTTTTGCTGCTCTGTTGCCTCTCCTCTCCTACGATTGATGAAGGAAGTGTAAAATTTGCAACGTGGGATTGAGGAAAGTGATATGTAATTATTTATATCCGTATGTAGTTTGGCGTCGGCGGTTTCATGAGGTGTTGTGCGTGTATCTAGAAGCGAATAACAGTACGAAGCCCTAGTGTTTGTGTGTGGTTTGGTGTTTTATAATTGATTTTTCTCGCTTTGGAAGCTGCGCCGCAACGGCTGGGCGCCACAGAGACCGGACGATGGGTTGAAAGTCATGGAAGTCTGATGCTATCATCATAGTGGGCTTCATGCGCCGTGTTCCTGCTTGTAGGAATGAGGCGTCGATGGGTTGAGCTCAAGACAGGCGTCATGCAAGCAGGAGCATGTTTAGAGCTGCACGCGACGGATGGTGGTGAAATCTAGCGCTACATGTTGGGAGCGGGCGTGAGAGCGTGGTACGTGGCTTGCGCGAGACGAGTTGGGATGGAGCCGTCCTGGAAGTGCAAAAGACACGGGTTGCGGCGACCTATAACTATAGCGCAGTTGGGCGTTACGGGAAGTGTTAGAGCATAGTGCCGGCAGATTGATTGCGCGTTGGCAGGGTAGCGTCTCAGTGTGCCGTGCGTGGCTTTGGTGATCAAGGTTGCTGTGACGGACACGACTGTTGGCGTGCTCGCCAGTCGCAGATGGGCGCGTCTCTTTGACTTTTGACTTCTCCAAGTACGGAGGGCCGGTGTCGAGTGGCTGAAGTTCTGGGCCTACTAGGGGGATGCTCGGTGCGGAGCCGGTGTGCAGCACGACCGAGGTGCAGAAAAGACACTGCAACTGGGATGTAGGCTCTGGATCAGAACGCGGTCGGGGTCCAGTGGGTGGTTTTGACCAAAAAGTGCATGGATGGGTTAGGCCCAAGTGGGATCCAAGCCGAAGCCCGTTGGTGATGACGTTTGGGGGGCGAAGCAATGTTTCAGCATCGTACTGGGCGGGACAGCTGCAGGTCTTATCGTTGTTTATTCGCCTCGCGCCTGCGACGTCCACATCAACGTCCACATCAGCGACGATCCGTCATGAGGACGGTCGGATGCATGACGGGTGACGGCCAGCATAGCATCACTACGACTGCACTGCGCACTGCAACCAACGCCCAGCCCAGCGCCCGGGCCGTGGACGAACTTGATCTGCAACCAGACTGCCCAGGTCGCAATCTCACCACCGCTATCCGTAGCCGTATTGGCGCGAATGCACCTCTCGTCCTGGGCCGCCTCTCATTCGCCGCCCACCTGAGCCAGCCCCCCAGGATTGCGGTGTTGCCGTTTCTTCTCGTCACATCTCTCCCCCCAAGGGCGTCACAGTCTGCAGTCCAACTTTCATTATTCTTCTTGGTGCTGAAAGTGTCCCCCTAGCATTGCCCAGCCGACAGACATGCAGCGCCCGTCTCAGGCCAGCAGGCCGAGGATGCGCGCCCCATGTTGCTTCCCATCTCTCCTACCACTACCGTGACCCCTCGGTTACTAATTGCATCTAGCACTTTCACTCCTGTCCATGTTCCCGTGCACAGGCCACTCCCACTAAGCCCAACTCGCTCGCCAGAGTTGGGGCCATTCATTCTCAGGACATTCGCACGCTCGATTCTCCACTGCCATTCTGACTCCCATACCGCTGCCCGCCATCCGAGCCCACCCTTCCCAGAGCTCCTCAACACACGTCGCCTGCTGAGTTTGCCGACCACAAAGTCTTTGATCGCGCGCGCTCTGCTTCCTTTGTTCACGCCAGCCGAAGCCAAGTCCTCCCTCCGAAGCCGCCTGGAGCCTCCCATCCCTCACCACGGTGCCTCACCCACGGCGCATTGCACGCAACCGCACACACACACGCCAGCACCTGATCTTCATGATAGTCCATCGACCAAACCCGCTGAGTGACGTCGTAGAGCCTTTGCTGCCGCCCTTCTCCGCCCTCGCACACCCTGCAACCACACACGACAGCCTCTGTTGCTAGCCTACTAGCTAAAGAGAGCCCTGCGAATCGCTAGCAATTACGAGCACTCGTCGACGGCGGTCACTGGATTTGTGCGGACTCGCCGTCGGTAGCCCTGCCCTCTGTTCGCGCGTTGGGCGTCATGCGATCCCGAGACCACAGAGCCTGAGCACCTACTACACAAACATACACACACACTGTCGAGCTTGCCAGCCAGATTATGACTGACGTCTCGGCGGTTCAGGCGTATGCTGACCATCAGCCGGCTCCCATCGCCCTCTACGCTAACCCTCCACCACCCACCTTCGCCCACGCTTCACCTTCCCTGGATGGCCCTATCGAAGAGGAAGAGTCGTCGACGATAAAGTGCATCTGCGGCTACTCGGACGACGATGGCAACACGGTCTTGTGCGAAAAGTGCGACACGTGGCAGCACATTGTGTGCTACTACGAGTCAGCCCAACACGTTCCCGATGTGCACGAGTGCGCAGACTGTCTCCCACGGCCCATGGACGCGAAGAGCGCTTCTGAAAAACAGCGTCTACGAAGGGAAGCCCACAGCATTGGCGAGCGCAAGGGCAGACCTAAGGCACCCGCAAAGAACCCCAAGAAGCGTCCCAAGGACCCCCTTGGCTCAGTACAACCCAACGGATGGCCCACGCAATCAAACGGCGACCTACACTACGCTCCTGACCGTAAGAGCGGAAGCCCTCGAGACCAGCTGCCGCCGAACAAGCGCCCTAAAACGAGCCATCGCCCATCTGGATCGACAAGCGTCATCAGCCAGGCACCAGCTCTTGCCCCAACCTCACGGAAGCGAGGTGGATCCGTCATGCTCAACGGCCACAGTCCCGTCAAGTCTCCTACAAACCCCGAAGGCCCCATCGAAGACTACTCGTCCGAGTTCATGCACCTCTACCGACACCCCGAACCGCCTTCCGCTGAATCCAATTCCTACACACGAATCGATGTCGCAAACGATATTGCCATGTGGCTAAAGGACCCTGAAGCCCTTGCCGAAGCAAGCGGAGGCAAGAAACCACAGGACATCTTCTCACGCATTGATGTCACGATACAGGAACTCGAAACGTCGACTGCACCAGAGATCGTGAAACAGACAGACATTGACTCGGCTATCTTAGCGCATGGCCTACACCCTCAATGGCTCTTCATCATTGCCGACACACCCGTGCCAGATGGTGGCTACGTTGGAGAGCTCAAAGGCCTCATTGGACGAAAGGCTGACTACTACTCTGATCCATGCAACAGATGGGACCTGCTACGACACCCCGAACCCTTCGTCTTCTTCCCTCCTCATCTACCTATATATATCGACACCCGGCGCGAAGGCAACATCCTCCGATATGCCAGGAGAAGCTGCAGTCCCAACATGTCCATGAAGATTCTGATCGACTCCAGCAACGATTATCACTTTTGCTTTTTAGCCACCCGCGAAATCAGTCCCGGCGAGGAACTCACTGTTGGTTGGGACATTGATTCCGAGGTGCAAAAGCAGCTGGCCAGAGTCGTCACCAACGGTGCAAAGGAGGGCTTCAGGAGGATACAGCCGTGGGTGTCTTGTGTCCTCGCTAACTTCGGGGGCTGTGCTTGCGATACATCTCAAGGCGGCGAGTGCCTCTTGGAGCGTGCACGCCGTAATACCATTGCCGAACCAAAGCCCAGAAACAAGAAGATGAAGAAGTCACAAGTGTCACCCATGAGCACAGGGCATGCGACAAACAGCCGTGCTGGTAGCGAGACGATGAACCGCGACGCCAACGACGAAGACCAAATGGATGCTCGTTCGACGTCCGGCTCACACAAATCAAGCAGTCGCGACATTACACCAGCAACCCACTTCTCTCTCGATGGCGACAAGTTGTCAGAAAGAGAAAAGAGGAAGATCCAGCATCAGGAACTGTTGTTTCAGAAGCTTGACCACGATGAACACAAGGGCAAGCGGAAACGAAACAGCGCTGGTTCAACGCTCAATACGCCGAGCGTCTCGTCTTCGGTAAGACCCTCGTATCTTCTCTCATTTCATGCTAATGCAGCTGCACAGAGACGACTTGGACATCCCGAACCTTCCCCCTCGGCCCGTCATCGCGAACACAGCCATGGTGTTGCACGCAAAACGTCGGGCAGTTCGACCAAGACGAACGGGCGTGCTGCGCCCAGACCGAAACCCGTTTACGTGGACGCATCGACGCAGACGGCCCAAGATAACAACGTTACCTCACTACCTTGTGGTCAGCCGCGTCAAATGAGGCCTCCACTATCATTCAAGCGCAAGCTTCTGCAACAAGCTCAAGAGGACAAATTGCAGCGCGAGCGAATGCGGTCAACATCGGTGAAAATGGAGATTAGGTCGCCTGCTCTAAAGGACGTATCATCGAGCAGGCCTTCTCCATTGCCACCATCCCCACCACTAGAAGAACCTTCCGCAATGGATATTTCCACAGAGCCGGTATCTGATACGAGGCATAAAGAGCTTACGCCTGAAAAAGAGCCCACACCAGAGCCTACAGCTGACGTGGAGATGGGTGATGCTGAGGTCACGGAGCCGAAACCTTCGGAGCCGTCAAACGCCGAAGAGCTACCCGACGCGCCTGCACCGCAAACTCCCCGAGAATCGTCGCATCTACCGACACAACCGCCTGCTCCACCGTGGTCATCGGCAATACCAAGCGACTCCTCGCCCAAATCACCCAAGTCTGCGGCAGATCCTCCGCCCAAGTCTGTAGATCTCAATGTTGAGATGCCTGGGAAGTTGGAATTGGGCACGACCGACAACAGCCGTGCAGTCACCCCCGGATCGACGTCTGGTGCCACTACTGAAACTACTGTTGCACGCTCTCCGACTACAACGACCATTGCCTCGCCCTTCTCACCTGCTGTGAACAATGCCGTCAAGCAACCGCCGGCGCGCAAGAAGCTCAGTCTGAGCGACTACACCAATCGGAACAGGCGGACCAAGTTGGCGCAAACACAATCGACAGGATCATCTGGCTCCGTGCCATTGGCCCAATCCCAATCTACGAGCTCCCCAACATTGTCAGCGGCCAGTCTACCAAACAACAACTCACCACCGCCCAAGACGGCTGAAGCAATCCTACCACCGGTTGCAGAGGAAACAAAGCCGGCAACGGAGGTATCGGTCGCTCCTCCAACAATAGCAACCACATCAGCCTCATGAGCAGTACGATTCACGATTTGATCCCCGCCCGGCTCTTGACATTTGTTTTCTCCCCCGAAATGGCTCAGAAACTCTTATTTTGGGGGACCCGCAGGGCGAGTTTACCCGTTATATATCCATTTCAATCCTCGTTGTCGTTTCTTCTTCAGAGGCTTCTTTTTTTGTTCTTTCTCTTTGGGAGTGTATAACAACATGTAATGAAATGCAAAGTTGGTGCGAATGAACGAAACTAAAGCCTTTTTTTCTTCTCTCTTTCGCTTTCTTTCCCTTTTATCTCTCCCAAGCTTTTTTCTTTCTTCTCTTTCTTTCTTTCTTTCTTTCCTTCCTACGACGACTTGAAGTGTTCGGTCGATTCTAGCTTTTCGTTTTCACGTTATATTGGTGTGGTTGCAAAGTTGTTGTTGACTTTGATGGACGGATGCGCATGTGTGGGAGAAACCCAAACCCCCTCCTGCGAAGAATTAAAAAGATTTTAAAAGCAGGATCATAAACTCCCCGTTGGGAGTCATTTTGGGGTTGCCAATTTTGTTTTATGCGCGTCGTTTTTAGCTAAGGTTTGCTGGTGATTGTTGCTGTGGGTTGGTTGGTTGGTTGGTCGACGATACACGTCTGGCAATGCAATGTCCAGCAATGAAAGAAAGGGAAAGAAGGGAAGGGAAAGGACACATACATGCATGGAAATGTTGAGATTTGAGATGGGCAGCCCCATTTCAAAAGCTCAGTTCGTCTTTCTCTCAGTGGGCCGGTGGGCCTTGAGGACGTGACGAGGTACCGAGGTGCCCTCATGCGATGACAGATAAGAGGCATCAGATAAGGTAGTTATGTATGCAGACTTGACCAAGCCAAAGGGATGTTTTGCAACATCCGAGAGATGAAGGAATACATGAAATACAAATTCAAAGAAATTTAACCCAACTTTTTCTGCTTCTTTCCCATGAATATTTGTAGTTGGTTGAAACTTCATGTGAAGAGGTATTGAGTCACGGTGATGAAGGTGTTTCGTCAGATTATTCAAATCTGATGACTGAGGGGTGGTGGTGGCCTGAAGAAAAATAACGTTTAAAAGGTGTTGTTGGGTGGAAAAGTATACTATACTACATACATACATGCAAGTACTCTCGCTGTTCTATTCTGAAATAAACCAAGGTTGAATCATATATACGTCAATGCTAGCGTCCACCAACGCCCTCCTCCCAAGAAGAAGGAAAGAAAAAAAGAAACCGCGTAAACCTCAAAGCCTCCCCATCTTCCCCTCCTCAGCAGTAACTTCCTCCCACCTCGGCGTAGGCGTCGCCGTCCCTCCACTCACACTCATACCTACCACATCCCTACTCCCCGCAACCATCTCGCTCTCTTTCCCCTCACTACCACCACCGCCACCACCACCATCCCTACCTTCAGCACCAACCTCGGACCCCTGCATCTCCACTGGCCCATTGCTGCCATTCATAAACACCAGCGCTCTTCTATACACTGATTCGAAATATGTCGGTATCGCATCTTCGTGTTGTCGTTGGACTGGGGATGTAGCAACACTGTTCGCTCCGCGTTTAGCTTCTTGGTCCATTGATGCGAGACAATGTGGTGATGCAGAGCGGAAGTGGGATTGGGGGGAGAAGGAGCCGAGTGTGTTGTTTGTGGTTGTGATTGTAGGCGCGGGGGACATGTGCATGTGTTCACGATTGTGAGGGTAATGTTGATGTTGGTGGAGGTCGCCAGTAGGCGGGAGTTCAAAAGGGGCGGTTATGGGGATTTGTGGGAGTGTATTATTGTGGGAAAGACGAGGTGGGCTGTATGCTGGATGTCCAATGGGACTGTACATGTCGTATTTGAGGGGTTGTGGGTTATGTGGGGCGAAGTAGGATGGTGCTGGTGTGCTGAAGTTCTGGTGTGGATAAGTTCCGTTAAGTCCTAGTTCATGGTGGCTGTACATGTGCTGTTGCTGTTGTTCCATGGGTGGGGGTGAGGTAGCCGTGGCTTGTTGGTAGTGCTGATACGATCCCCCTCCAATTGCAGCTTGAGCTGCACGGCCACCAGCAGTTGGGCTTGACTCTAACATTGCTGTGGAACTATTGCTCGGACCAAGGCGACGCACGGTTCCTGCCTTGCGATTTACTTCGTCTTTCAAACTCTTGGTACGGCCCCAGAAAAAGAAGAGGAGAGCCGCGAGAACGACGACGGAGAGGGCTCCGATGGCGATCCCGGCTATGGCACCTGCGGACAGTGTTTTCTTGGATCTTGGCGTAGAACCTGAAAGACTTGCAGTCGCTGAGCTGGTGGGAAGGTTGCTTGGTAAGGGACTTTCGGCAGGAAAAGGTTCGCCTGCATTTAGCATATAGGTGCTGTTTAGCGCTAGCTCATGTTGGTATGTTACGCTCGTTGATGCGTTCGGGTTGATGGCGCCAACCATGCCGTAGTTTAAACAGCTGCCAGGGGCAGAACAATAGAAGAAGACAGGGTTTGTGTCGTTGATACGGATGCGGTAGGTGGGTGGTGAGGAGAGGATGGCATTGACGGGCTTGAAACCAGAAAAGAAGCCTTTTTTGTTGTTCCCGATCATCTCGTAAGGTATACAAGGGAAGCCATACTCGGCGCGGACGACGCTGTGGTTTAGCGGGTAGAAGTCGAATTCGATAGTCTGGATGTTGTCAGTGGGTGTCTGAAAGAGCCATAGCGATGCGTTTACTTACATCACCGATATTCGCAACGGTAGTGTCAGGTTTGAAAATATGGTCCGCTAGACCGACCTGGATGGTATGTGTTTGTGCTGCTGCTGAGCTCGTCGAGCTTGTCGTCGAGCTTATCGTGCTTGTCGGCAACGGTGAGCTTGATTGAGTCACTGTGATTACCATGGTCGATATTGTCGGCTCAAGACTATTACCGCTTGAGGCAGTAACGCTCTGTGCTAGGCAGGTTGTAGAAAGCTGAGTGCTAGAATAAGCTGAAGAAGGATGGAGGTAGCCAATATGGCCCCCCGCGTTTTGCAAAAGTCATATTCAGGTATGTAGTGTTTCCGAATGAGGTGTCAGTCGAGCTTCGGTAGGGATACAACGTTATGGGACACCAAAAGAAGAGAGAGAGAGTCGAAACCGACCAAGAAGACGGACCAGAGCGAAAGGAAGTACTCAGCAGCATAACAAACCTGTGTGGCTTGGCAGCGGCCATGCGAACAAGGACTCGGAAGCAGATGAAGCGATAAAATAGATAATGGAAAAGACATTCTGGAATGTGTACCTGCATGGAATGATCAACGTGGATGCGGCTGTGGCTTGGAAATGGTATCCCCATTTGCTGTTCGGCGTGCTGATCTAAGCCGAGGATGTGCTACAACAAAGAAGACGGGGACTCGGTGACCTCATGTAGTCGCCGCGACAAAGACAGTCGTACAAAGCGCGTCGGTTTCGAACGCCGACTGATGTTTCATCTTGCACATGCAGAAGCATAGCCTTGGAAAAGTCACTTGACTGGTGGCAGTAGTGTTCTTTTGATTACTGTTGGGTGGTGGATGTTAGCCTTTACCTTGCCACATTTCGACATTAGTGACACAAGTATATGGCAACCGATCAATGAAGAGACTATAATCCCTTGTACTTGAGCCGAATAAGCAGCCGGAATCCTGTTTGTAAGTGTCCTTTCCGTGTATGAGAAGCCTTCCGGCATCACTTTGCGCAATTGATCACGGCCCAGTAGCGAGTAGCGGTGGTACTTTTGAAAGTATTCGAATGTTTTTTTCTGTTACAGCTGAATTGAAAGAGCGGAATGGCCCAACCAAATTCACCATTATCGTCATTACATAGCCCCTTTGGCTTGGTATATCCGCTATCGCTTGCATGAAATCATAAATTGGCAACAGCATCGCATCATCATAACTCCTTTTGGCATGATAGCCTAGTACACTTCCTGACCGGTAGAAGATTGGATCCGGTAGTGTTGGTGATGTTGCACCTGCGTCATAACCCATTTCGTGCCGGGTTCACTAGATGCGTAAGCTCAGAACCTCAACGGAGACCTGGGTCACCGAATCCAAAGGGGTCGTTGCTTGAGGAGCTATTGGACCCGGAAACGTAACCCGAAGGTGCGGCGGAATGTTGTTTACCAAAGGAAGCTGGGTTCGGTAAAGGGTTCCAGACTGGGAAGCCTTCTGGAGGCTGACTCTCACCTACTGGCTTACCACGAGCATAATCGACAAGGCTGCCGTTGATGCCAGTAAGTGCCCAAGCAAAGACGGCGACATCGCGAATGCTCTGCATGAAGCTGTTTTGGAAGTCCAAAGAAGGTCCAGCGTGCACCATGGCGGGATGCCGGGCACCCAGTGGGTATTGAGGCATCTGCGGCGGGGCGGGGTGGAAGACGGGCTGGGTGGCCCAGGGAGCGGCGAAGATGCCGTTGTATTGCTGCGCAGGTTGGGCCATGGGAATGGTACCTGGTAGCATTGGGCGAGCGCGACGCAGACATACGACCAAACCATCCGAGGTGCATGAGATGACAGCTTCGAGTTCAATTGGTTCGTCCCGGAATTCGGAACGGGGCGAGCTCACGGACGAGATGTCTGAGCGGGCCGCCGACCCACCGAACATGGCTCCATGGTTACGTCCACGGTTGTTGCTGTCTCCCGAGTTTGCACGCGTTGCAAATGACTCCTCACTGCCACCAGCGCGATGATTTGGGTTCGAGTGCTGCCTGGAGCTAGGTGTACCATCTGTGGTGGAAGGGCGGCTGAGACCTACGCCGCCCTCGGACTCATCATCGGAGCCTGTAACATCAGTCATAATGTCGTCCTCACTTTCAGCCTCGGAGGAGGTAGTCTCAGGCCCTTCGTCGCGGGGATCGCGGAAGAAGAAGCGCATGTAAGCAATGGAGTCGTTGCCCTTGGCAGACTCGAGACAGCGGACTGCATCCTCAAGACAGTTTGGGGCAATGCAGTAGTAGAAGCTCTTTCCCTTCATAGCCTCTCCTGAAATACCAATGATCTGTTCGATGCCGCTGGTAGCATACATGACAGTCAAAGTACGCGTGAATCTGTTGAGAAAGAGGGCAGCACGGGGCTCATGGGTCTGTTCCTCTGGGCCAAGGTCAAATTTGGAGGATAGATGCGACAACATATGGTAGCGCGGGTCCTTCGGAGATGAGGCGAACAGCTTGCGGACTATGGGAGCTTCAACCGCGCGCTCTGATTGGCGAGGATCATCAGCATGGAACACGAGTCAGATGGGGTTCGGTGCTTACTTTGGCTCTGCATGCCATGACGGTAGATGCTGGTGCAGCATACGAGCACATCGTAAACGACGGAAAAGCAGCATTCGCAGCCAACCCAGTCGCCTTGGCGGTTCCTCAGACGACAGTAGGACAGGACGGCGGCCTTGTCGAGCCTGACACCGCGACTGTGCTGCTCTCTCGCCAGCGGGAGCTCTTCGGGGTGGAAGAACTGCCACACGGACCTGTTGACGACCTCATCAGGCGTATGGCCGAGGATGTCGACAATGGAATCGGACGAGTACAGGATGTGGGCATCGTCGGAGAGGTCTGTCTTGGATGAGCATTCGTGTCCTGTAGGCAGGTGTGTCAGGACGTACCGTGGATGGTGATGAAGGTGGTGTCCATTGCGGCAGGCACTCGAAGGGTGGAGGGCTAGAGGACAGGACTAGAGTGCTTGGGTAGTATGAATGTTATGTATGTACCGCACGCGTCCGGGTTATGTCGAATCTAATAATTCGCTCTAGGACGGGCGGCGACCAAGTTAGAGGAAGTCGGCCGGCTCAGGCGAGGGACTTTGGCTGGTCAAATAGGCAGGGTCCAAGTAGCACGAAGGCACGTTGGTGGCACCGTCGCGTACTGGTTCGGATAAGGTTGAGGGGGCGCCGTGACACTGGCGCAAGGGCACAAGGCAAGAGGAGTGTTCTGGGCTGAAATTGCAGCTCGAATGCAGCTCAACTGCAGCGCGGAGGGTATGCGAGTCAGTTGTGATGATGTAATAGTCCGTCACCTAACAGTGTTGAAGGCGGTTGAAGAGTCTGGCGCAGGTCGAGCGCGTGGTGTTGTTATATGTCGATGCAGACGGGTAGTAACTGCCTGAAGTGGGCTAGCCGAGGGGCATGAAAATGAAGGGAAGCCTGGGAAGGGCAGGGTGGTGTTTGCATAAACCAGCGAGAGGTGAAGTGACGGGCGCACGACCCCTGTTCGGTGGAAAAAAGACGGTTGACGTTAGTCCATGGGCTCGCTTGTGGGTCACAGAGCCCAGGGTTGCGGAACGGAGAGACACAGGCTGCAGAGGCTGTTGCTGTACCGGCAGTGGGCAAACACACAGCCGGGTCGACAGGCTGCGAGCGCGCCCAAAAGAGCCATGATGGGAGGTTGGACAGCGGTCGGGTGTTGCAGAGAGTCACGTGCCGGCTGTCTACATGTACGCCGACGCCCAGATGACGTCTTACCGGAGGCAAACGAAAAAGAAAAAGAGCACATGTGCATGTGGTGAGCTGCACGCCTACCTGCACTTCGAGCGAACCAGCTATGCACTGGCCCAAGGGATCGACGACGACATGTCGACTTGAAGACGTCGGCAGCGGCGCGGGACTGCGGCTGCGGCAGTACCAGGGATGATCAATCAGGCCATGTCCGACCAAGTTGCTTGACCGCGTCGTCGAGTCGCACACGAACGGGGTTGTGACGGGGGGTAGCGGGAAAGAGCGAAGGGTGACGAGCGAAGAAGGTGCCCAAATGCGACTAGGCTTGGCGACGAGCATTGAGCAGCGACAACCCACCAGGGGTGCAAAACCCAACCCAACCCTGCCCCCGCTAACCGTCATGAGTAGAACTCTCCCCTCAGCGTAGATGGGAAGTCGAGGCCTATTACCGCTCCAACAGCTTCACGTGCCTTGCTCCTGCCATCCTACCAGCCTTCTGCCACTTTCCACTTCCACTTCCACTTCCACCTCCACCTCCACTTGGTCGTACAACGCGGTTACCTCGTCATCCCGACCCCCTCAACCGAAATCTACAATCGACGATCCTCAGCAAGCTACGCCTCAAGCCACATGCAAGACTCACTCTACCTCTCTCTATTCTTGCACTTGCTCTCTCTCTCCCCACTCTGATTGGCTACGGCCTTTGTGAGCGCCAGCGCAAGCAAGCAACCGCTCCTTCCCTCGTATTCCCATGTTTGCTGCAAAGTAATGGCCGTTTTGTCTTCACCACGCCTCACACAGACCTAGCTTGTATATCTCGCGGTTGGCATACCCGACCGTGGATACCGCCCTTGTCACCGCCCTTGTCACCTGCCACGAGCCCCGGGCCCTGCATAGCTCCCAGTCCGGCTGAAGTTTCCGACCATCACGTGTCCCATGAGGCCTCATCTTGCTTCTCAACTCAACAACAATATCGCTACCAGAGTTGAAACTCGATAAGTGCTGCTGCTTAATCTTGCATGGTACTGTTTTGTTCGGAAAGTGGAGAAAATTAATTTCGCCCAGTGCGCTTCAACATCTCAAAGCTTCCGACCAGGGCTCTCCCATGCACGCCAAGATGGATCCCAAGTGGGAACTTCCTTCGCTGAGGGGTACAATGAGACTAGGCGTATGCATGTCCCCCCAGTTGCACATCTACCGACCACTGACAACGCCACAGGCGCATACAAAGTCTAGCCTCGGTACTAGTGAGTAGCAGGCGGCCTCAACCTCACTCCATGCATTACTGATCACGTCCCGACCAGCCCAGCTCTACGACGTCGAATTCTATCCCTATACTGCTCCCGGCGTCGATCCCGTATTTGCTGTGTGCGGAGGCCCATTTGTGTGTATCACCTTGTGTCTGATCTTGCGTCTACTAATTGATCTAGACCATCATTTGTCGCTGCGTACTGGGTAAGAATGACACCATTGAAATCCTGCGGTGGTTCGAGGACGAAGAGATTTCTACAGAGCATGGTTCAGCGGGTGATAGAGTAGGTCGTTTGTGTACATCCGCTGCTCGCCCTAACTAATTGCATCCCACCCTGCAGCTGAACTACAACAGCGTCGTATGGTCTCAGGCTGAGAGCGGAGACCCACTCGTCTGTGTGACTGGTGATTCGCGTATCAAGGTTTTGAATGTCAAAACAGGCGAGCTTGTATCCGTAAGTTATGCGTTTCGGACCTACTGCATCCACTGACGCGCCTCAGACGCTGATAGGCCATGGCGATGTAAGCACTTTTACCGCAGCACGCAGACTGGTCATCTTATACTTTGCAGTCCGTCAACGACCTTGCTGTGTCACCCACAGACCCAACAATACTGGCCTCGGTCAGCATTGATTTCAGTCTCCGCATTTGGAGCCTGCATCCGTCGCATGAAAGACAACCGCTTGGGGCAATATGCTATGGCCAGGGTCACAAAGAGCAGGTTTTGACCCTTGTAAGTCACTATCTAATCGTTCCTAGCAACATGTTGATATCAGCAGGCCTATCATCCCAAAGGCCGGTACATCCTTACCGCGGGTATGGATACGAAGATCTGCTTGGTGGGTGCTCCAATATCCTTGTATAATCATACCTCTAACGCACCTTAGTGGGCTGTACCAGACCATCTCAAAGATCACGTTGGAACAGACCAGCCGCTCAAGGTGCACTATCCACATTTCTCGACCACGGAGATTCATACCGACTTTATCGACTGGTGATGCACTCTTTCCAATTTTGTGTCGCATTTGCTGACTTACTCAGTGTTCAATGGTACAATGATCTGATACTCAGTCATGCGTGCCGGGAAGACAAGATTATTCTTTGGAGTATCGATAAATTCAACTCAGACCGGCTCACTACACCTCCGGCACCTATTCCCACCTCGAGCGCAGTCCATAGCCGCAGTCCAGTCACCATCCAAGCCAACACAACCTCAAACACACGGTCAGCTTGGGGTGGACGCTTCCAGCGACTCCTACAATTTGAACTCCCACATACTAACCAGTTTTATATTCGCTTTTCAATATTCCACCAACTCGGTCGTCACCCCATCCTCTCAGCAGCGAACGAAAAGAGTAAGACTTTTTTCTGGGACTTGCAACGCCTAGAAGACTCCGGGATGGGAGAGGATGAGTCACAGAATCCAGAGTCACAGAATACAAAAGGCTTGCCGCTGGGCCTACCAAGACACGTGCGCGAAGGAAGCACGGCGTCCACAGCCTCGTCTGCTGTTAGCACTAGTTCAGGGACCACAAAATCCAAGCAAAAGAAGGTCAAGGAGCTGCATGTCGATCGAGGGATATCAGATCCATTTCGCTCCATCAAAGCCCACAAGACCATCGAGATACCCAAATACAAGGCCTTTGCGTTTCGCCACTCTGCCTGGAGCCGCGATGGTCAATGGTTTGTTAGTGTTGGCGATTGCGGTACCATCGCCATCTTCAATAGATGGGAGATGGGAGTTCCTCCGATCAGCCCAGACAAGGACGTTTCTACGGAAGAGGTCAGTCAAGACAAGGTTAGCACGCTCCCTGAAAGCTCGGACCCGGATTGCGTACCAAAAGTCCGATAGCCGAGTGGTGTCCGACTCAAGACAAGGGCTCACTGACGTGGCAATAGATGGAGATATGAAGACCACCGATGTGATAGCAGTGTCACGCTGAAAGAGTCATAGTCTTCGATAATCCGTCACAGATGAGAGCGAACAGTCATGGATAATCCTCCTCACCATTCTGACGACCTCTCCGAAGGTCTGACAGATAGTTGGACACTTTCCCACGCTGACCTTTTTGGAACAATTTAACAAGTCCCATATAAAGACATGGATGAAGAAATCCGTACGCTTAGCTAGGAGACAACCCGTTTTCTACCCTGTTTTAGTCAATCCTGGCGAGGCTGATGGAGAGGCCCATGACAACAAAACATAGAAGTGGTTGTCAACGAGCAGCCAAATGGCTGGGCAGCAACCACGGTTAGTACTAGAGCACAGCGTGGAATATCAAATAGTTGTTCTCACATACAACCATACCCGTCGCTTATTTGGTTGCCACTTCCAAGCCCCATGTACAAAATTCAGCATGTCTCGCTATGATTTGCATCAACACATTGTATTCGACGAAGAGTATGTTTGTTTGTTTGCCTATTCGAGGTAAAGAAGGTTGTCGTGGGGGTCACATTCGCTAGGTATATTAGTTGGCAGAGTGTGAATCTGCATGCGAAGACGTCTGCATATATTAAAGAGCCAGGGGAAATTAGTAAATCAAACACGCAAACATTACGAGTCTATCACCAAAGTTTTGTTTTAAAGAAATAAATAGACATACACTTATACCCCACGTGTTGCGCAAGGCATTTATGCAACACAAAACATCTCCGCGCTCCTCACCTCTTCACACCAACACCACCCCATTATTCCAACACCTAAATTTAGCCTCCACGTGTATATCTAACTCTAATCCCTACCTACCTACCCATCACCAAAACATTTCCATTTCTTTTCTTTTACCTGGACCGCGCGCCTCGCCAAAAAAAAAAAGAGGCGCAAAACGCCACAATAAAGGGTTATCCCAGCGAGCGAGGCGTCATGGGCATTTGCAAATCAAAGCATACTTGGTCTAAACGCCGCCGCCGCTACCGCTGTGCCGCGCCTGCGCAGCTCTGCAAGTTTGGTTCTGGGTTCTGCAAGGTACACACATACGCACGGGTCAGGGGGTTGGATCGCGGGCGGTTGTTGGCGGGGAAAAAGCAAGTTATTCGTGGTAAAGTAGTTAGAGTTGTGCACACATACATGGGATTTTCGAGTGCGATGGGTGTACTTAGATGGATGCCCATGTGTTTGTTTGTGTATGAAGAAAAAAAAGCTTCTAAGCTTGGCGTCATCGAGCATGGCTTGTCTGGTCTGTTTGCGAACAAAGCGATGCCAAAATGGCTTTTGAGTGCCCCGTTTCGCAGTATCGTCCTTTGTCTGTCTGTCTATCTGTCTTTGAGTGAGACGAGGAGATTTGGTGTTGGGGGGAGGATGGAAGACGGGGGTTCTAGACTTTGTTTCAGGAAGAGAGGGGGAGGGGGTAAGGTGTTCGTGAGACAAAACAAAGAAAAGGACGAACCAACAGGGGACTAACGCTACGGAGCCCACTAGTTCGTTTACAAAAAGGAAGGAAAACGGGTGCTTGGGGGGAAGACGACTGTCAGACAACCAGAGCCCAGCGAGTTTTGTTGTTACAGACGTTGAACGAAAGAATACGCGACAAAACCCCAACGTTCAACGACGCAGCGAAGATGATGCCGTCACCGTCGCTCAATATATCATGCTCGTGTAAAGCATGCAGTACTTTCCTTCGCCCAACCGTCTCCGCAACGCAGCCATACCTTCTTTCGCTCTTCTCTTTACCTACGACTTCCACGTCCGACTTCACTACGAAGAAGAAGCTTCTCCCCACGCCATCCTGGGTCGATAGACTATCCCTCTCCGCCTACGACGTCGAGATTATCACGCCAGCCACAAGCACACCATTCCAAATACCTCTCAGCCTGAATACCTCGAGTTTGAAAAAGGCTGAAGAGAGCCAAATTACGCGTAGTGCGTTCCCCAAGACACCCGGGACGTTGCGATGCACACATGCGGATTGTCGCACAAGGATACCGGTTGCATTAAGTTTACCCGGTGTGGGCAGTGTAAGCATCAAATCGCTACTCTGCGAGGAGCATTGTGATGATGTCTTGTACGATGCTGAAGAGGACATTGTTGACGCACCGTTTTCGGAGAAGGATCCGAAGACGATGATGATGGCTGAGACCACCGCTTTTCATTCTAGCGAGTCAGGCGTCTTCAGTGCGGAAAGCGGGGTCCGGGGAGGTGGCAAGGCGAGTAGGAAGACGACACCGGCTTTGGCTAGGAGAGCTAGCAGCACGGCATCTTGGAGTAGCGTCGCTTCGCTGGACGGCAGTGAGCCGTCGAAATCTGGGGATGTTGGCTTTGAATGGGCGGCGAGGGCGTTTGAGTCGAAGCTTTGTTGGTGAGGGTATCTTTCTAATATTGCTAAATGATTGTAGTTTCTAGCTGTACAATATGGAACTTCCATTATGATTGAGAACGTGAACGATGTGTGTAATTGAATGAATGAAGACTACAAGCCATGAATAACAAAAGAAAACAGCTGACGAACATACCTTTGCACCCTACGGTGTGACATGTCATAATCTTCTAAAAGAGTGTTGGTGGGATGAGCCCAGGAGTCAGTCTTTTACAAGCAACCTGGTTGTACCTACCGGACGCAGATATCATACGAGGTAGCCAATCGATCAAGAGCAAGGATTTCTGCTTCCTCTTCCACCTCTTTCATCCACTGCGCGTGATCAATAACTAACTCCTCGAATGCAGAGTCTAGAAGCTCGTCTTGTTGGTACAATTCGTATAGTGGCGTCTCACGTAGGTACGGCAAGCTCGCATATTCATCCTCATTGAGCAAAGTCAACCAGATGTCCTCGTCTACAGTCACAGCTGAGTCGTCCATGTGGTCGGCGAGTGATGTGTTCCAAACATCCCCGGTTTGAAGGTAAGCCACAAACGTCCTGCGGTGGCTTGACTCTCGGGCGCGCCGTGTGTACGAGCGTGAATACTGCCCGGCGTGTTGGTGGAGAGCTGAGCAAGGGCCTGGATGGTGTTCGAAGCAGTGGTGTGCAGCCGTGCTGGTACGAGCCAGCGATAACTCCACCTCGCTAATCCTGAATTGTTCGTGTGGAGGTTGTGGTTCAAACGAGGCTGCCACAGAGGTGGAGCCGAGATTTCGGGTAGCCAAGTCAGGGCCTACCCAAACATCGTCGTCTTTGTGGCTGGAACCTGGCAAAAACAATTCACGTCTACATAGTGGACATGTATTTTTAGTAGATGTCCACTTTGAAATGCATTTCTCGCCAAAGACATGTCCACATGGCAACTGCATCGGCATCTCCGCATCGACACCCATGGATGTCGGGAAGTAGGCGTGGTAGCAGATGCAGCATTCCAAGCCTGCACTCACCGGTACCGACGCTTGGTATTCTTCGAGGGCTCGGCGACTAGCCATGTTTCCGTAGGGTATGAGTAGCGAGCCGCGACAATGGAGGCTACTTTGATTTTGGTAGTGCACTTACTGTAGATACGATCGTCTAATGTCAGCCTTGAGATACAGACAGGAGAAAAGTGGGGAAGAAGTAGACCCTGAGACCCGAGCCTTATGCGTACACAGGTGTCAAAAAAAACTTGAATACGTGCACAGGTACGGCATCAAGTTTTTCATGATACCCAGGCGCGTAGGGCTTCGCGTTCCATACAAAGACAGCCCTAAGGCATTGAACTTTGGGACCTTGTGCGGACGACAGCCGTACCGTGCCATCCGTATCTTAGCTGCGTGGACCGTATTCTTTGTCTGATACCATAGCCCCAAGAATTCCATTGTTTGAGCCAGCCTCAGAGCCAGCCACCTTTGACAAGTCCTGTGGATAACCGCTCGCTTGTAAACCTTCTCAATGGACTAGCGTTCTGCAAGTGACACTGTTGAGTCATTCCACCATCACAGCGTCACCCACAATGTGGCTTTGTTTTCTGCGACTGCCACGCTGGAGAGGTGGATCGGCTCCACCTCTCAGCTCGCATCTGGAGACGGCCATCGTGGCAGACTTCACGTGTGGCAGGAATCGTCTGGTTGGAGTCGGCGGTTGGCGGAGCGTCTAAACACCGATGCGAACTCGGCCAACAGTACTTTCACTGGAGGCCTGAGTGACGATTTCAACTGGTTAAGGTTCAACCCAGGTACAATGGAGGAACGTTAGGTCCTAGAGTCTGTGTCAATGTGCGAATTCTCCGGCTGCGGGGTTTCCGCGTAGACTCATATGGTACCATGGGTCTCAGTAGAAGTCAGAGTTGGTGTGGGAGACGGCGGCCCTGTGAAAACGTGGTCTCGGTACCTGACGACTCCCAAACCAGCAGGCTGGACCCAGCGAACTCAGAGGTGGCGGTTAAGCTTGCAGAGGGCCGCGGCTGTGCGCTAACGGTTTGAAGTATGTGCCCTGAATTCAATATTGACATGTCGACGCCACGCTCGTGACATGCACCTCACCGGCCTGTTTCGTTTTGACCGACGTACCAGTCAGGGCTGCACATGTCGAACGCCCGCTGGGTCTGTCAGTGCACCGAAGAATCGAACGACCATGGTAGGCCTTGGGCTGTTCAACCACACAATCCACGTCCAAAGCTGCAGACATGTGGCACAGCGACACTCATCTCGAAGACAGCGGGCAAGCGCACTGAAGAGAGCTGCGGCGCTACGGAGAGTTTGGAAAACAGTACGCGAGGTCCACTACTGAATGCCGGAAAGTGTCAACGTGGGAGGAGGTGTCAATAATTGAGCGGAGACTCACCGAGCACCTGGTAGGAAGATGACCTTTCGTCATGTAGGGGTGTTGTCCAGATTCTGCAAAAGCTAGCGTGCTAGCGCTATCTACAGTGGGGGCGCTATTCCCCTCTAGGCGTCAAAGTCTTGGTGGTGCGGGAACGGTGCATGAAAGCTATCGCATTTGTGGAAATTGGCATAAGCTATCTCCCGCTCCGACATGGCTTCGCTAAAGAGATCAGCGTGACAGCCAACGAGGCGCGCCGTTCACACGACAAGCTTTAGCCTCAGACGCTCTCCCGTCTCTATTTTCGACTATCTCTGGTCTTGTTTACTGCACGGCAAACAATGTGATGTACTCGGAGACCGCGATCAGTGAGCTCCCCACTACACCGGTGGGGTGGGATCGTACCATTCCTGAACGCCGCCCCTTGCTCTTGCCCATGTCCACTTGATTATGGACCTGACTATGGTACCTGTCGGTCCCGATGAGAATGCAAGCCACAGGCCGCTTGGGCTCATCGTCGTTCCGGAGATCTAGTTCTGTCACTTAAGCTTACCGCGCTTTCCATCTCGTGCTGGATCAGGCCAAGTTGGCAAGCCCTACGACAAACATGGCGAGCTGGCTACGTACCGCCCAAGTTTCCAAGCGGCGTCTAGCCATAGCAGTGGCTTGCTGCTAACAACACGAGGCTCGGTTAGAGAATCATCCATGTCTATAGTGAAAGTGCTTCACCATGTATAAGTAACATGTCTCTGCTCGTCAATTGAAGTCCTCATCCAAAGCACCTCACAAGCTTCTCAGGTATCTACTCCAACACATCAGTTCTTTCCGGTCATCTCCCTCCACCAAAACATTCAAGATGCGCAACACCCTTCTCATCGCTTCTGCTTTCGGCGGCTTGGTTGCTGCCCTACCCCAGAAGATCAACATTGCAGCTGCTGAGGCCGTCCCAATACCTGCCATCCTGGGCCCCAACCCCACGAAGACTGCTGAGACAAGTACTTACAACCAAGCCGCTGCTACCAAAGCCGCATTTGCAGCAGTTGTCAATGCTGGTGCCATCGTCAAGGGCACTGGACCTGGAGCTGGAAAGCGTGATGTCAACGTCAACGACGCCTGTGCACTACAGCCTGGAGGGTACGTTGATATATCAAAGATTGAATTTTAGACCGACCGACTAATTCTTTTTATAGTGCTGGATCAGTCCCAGAAGACGACTCTGTTGATGGTTACCTCGCCTCTACAAACTCCCTAAGGAAGGCTGCTCGTGAAGCCAGCACTCCCTCCGGCTACACCAAGTCTTTCACTGATCTCACTGGATCCACTGAGCAGATTGGTTACATGACCTACAAGAACATCGAGGACGGCACATACAACGTGGACCAATGCGCTGCCTTCTGCGACAGTGAGAAGTTCTGTCTTGGTTTCAACATCTTCGCCGAGCGTGATCCCAAGTACAATCCTGCACCCGACTGCACCAACCCTCAGCCCATCACCAACATCAAGTGCTCCCTCTACGGATACCCCGTCACTGCCAAGACGGCCACCAACCAGGGTCAATGGCGTGAACAATTCCACGTAGTCATCACCGCCAGCAACGGATACTCCAAGCTCGACGGATCTGCTTGCAAGCCCGTCCCTACTGTCGCTGGGTTCAACGCCCCTGCCAACCTCCCTGCTGCCATCAACGCTCCTCTTATCACCAAGGACGGCTCAGAATACGACACCTACAATGGCATGCGTCTTTTCAACACCAACCCATACGACCCTTCTCTGTGCGCCGCTGCTTGCCAGGCCCAGACCAACTTCGACAAGAACCACCTCGCCAACGCCAAGGGCGAGTACAAGCCTTGCAACTTCTTCACCTCCTACATCCTGACTAAGAACGGCGTTCCCCTCGGTACTTACTGCGCTTTGTACACTCAGGCTTGGGGCGCCGACAAGGCTGTCAACACTGGCTACTTTGACGGTGACGACACCTACTCTGTCATCTGCGCCGCCAGCTACACTGCTACTACCCTGGACAGCGGTGTCCTTCCCTCTGCGCCTGCGCCTGCTGGTCGCTCTTAGAGCATATAATGAGTTTGTTTGATGACGGAATGAGGTGGAAGTTTTAATTCTTTTCTGAGAAGTAGTAGATTTAGTAGATTCGGTTTTTGGAGGGTAATGATACAATTTATCACCTAAACATAAAACTCATTCTAATGCCTTCGACTCTATTACTTTCTCGCATATCCACCGTGATTCCAGCATGTTTAGACATGCTCAAAATGGGTACTCGAAGGGAAGAAGGGCTCTCGATGTAGTTTGGAGAGTGTGTGGTGAGCACAAGAGATCAGCAATCAACATGATGCCTCAAGGTACTCAGGCATCGTTTAGAACGCACATCGCTCCTTGTTCGATACTAGTATTCTTTAATCGACTCTCACGTGTTGCAACAGCTACACGCTATGTACCTTGGCACTCAATTACATAAGACGGCATATGAGTAATCACGAATCTAGAATATACAGTAGACAACAGACACCTCCAGAGGCGCGTAGAAGTTAGACCCTAGATATTGTGACAGCACCAAGCCACTACGTCTGAACAAACACCAGCGTCTATCTTGCTCTTCTGGTCTCTAAGCCCACCCAGATCGAGACAGCATCACTACCCCTAACTCTTCCAGGTGTATCTGACGCTGACTTCAGGGGCAATGAAAGACTACTTCTGACACCCAAACAACTCTTCGGTGATTCCAGAGAAGGAAGGCGATAAGCCAAGTCACTGCGTATTATCGATTACAGCCACCTTCCGCTTTCACCACCGGAGAAGAGGAAGGTGCCCAACAACTGCATTGAACCTGCTGTTTCGAGCTATAATCACAAGACGAGCAAAAAGGGGGCCTTTGATATCAATGCCTTGGTGTATCCGAGTTTGTCAGCACAGCAACCACACCTCCATCCGTCATTTGCGGCCATGAGACTTTGCTGTGTAACAGGCCGACGTCATCGTCTTACAGCCCTATATGCGCGCCCATAATACCGGTATGCTAGTGCTAGTACCCTAAACTCCAAGATTACACCCGAGGATCCAAGCTCTACACAAGAAAAGCCCGGGGAAATTACCCGTCACCTATGTGTCATGAAATACTTGGACAGTGTGGGTAAGCACCTGATAGGCATGTTTGGCGATGACAATGGCCCTTTTTACACTAGTATGTATGTCAAGTATTTTATGACACCCGGGTGCCCGTATCATCTCATTCCAGACCCACCCTACGGACATCCAGAATCTGACAGAACTCTGAAAAATCTTGGCTCCCGGACATCTACCAAGCCCGGATGCGGATGCAGAGATTTTTTCCTTCCAATCCTTCCAGGTTTTCAGATCAGGTGGGGTTCTTTCAATGCGATACATGCCTCGGGACTGAGGGTCAAGTCTTATACCCTTTGATATTGGCCTAGCCACGTTGTGCCGTGCATTTGAAGCAGGCAAGAAGCTTGATAGAGGCGGCGTGGCGCAAACGGGAAGCTCAAGAAATGAGGGGGATGACGGAGGTATCAATGTCTGAAACAAGCTCTCGTGGGCCTCGGCTTTGAGAAGGAATGGGGGAGCGTCAGCGGGGTAGAGGACATGAGAGAGAAGACGTCTTGGTATACGAGAAGAGCTATGTTCATTTCCCTCAAGAATGTAACATCCTTTACTTTATTGTAAGCATGGAAAATGGCAAATACGTGCTGCAGCTTCTCCAGCCACAGCATGGTGTCAGCATAACGTCTTGTTCTGGAAATACCTAGCCACACACTAGATGCCACCGCTTAAGCCTGGGATAGCCAGCCCAAGGCAAGAATCGTGAAGCTGCAATCTCGAACGCCGCATCGAAGTCGCGTTACGGCAACGACCCGCCAGACCCGCATAACTAAGCATGTGGAGCCAAACTGCGTGATCGACTCCAGCTTCAGCGCGGCTGGCAGGTGGAGCCAACCAACAACCCAGCCAGGCCAACCATTTTCGTGTTCTGAGGCAACTAAAGACGGAGACGTACGTATGTTTTGGTGTCCTCAGCCCTGCAGGCATTAAAACACCTATAACTGAAACAGGTACTCGGGTGTCGGGCTCGCGATGGGGAAGGTGGCATGGCAAGACCAACGGGGCGGAGCAAGCAAAGAACAAGGACGCAGAAACGAGGCGTGGAACACCATCGTATTGTGCTCAAGGGCGCCTTAGCGACACTATGCGTTTCTTGCAATGGAATCCAAGGCGCGGGATTTGATCGCTTCTCCTCAATAACCCACATGCGGAATGTCGCCATAACGCCGCATGTCGCGACGTTGCGAACCCCAGAAGTTAGCAAAAGAGACACTATACAAGATTGACCAAGAGCCGCCAACCAACCACCACCACCATTGCGCCCTAACGATTTGTCAAGTCAAAAACTCTATTTTGTCCTGACAAAAAACTCGATCCGGACACCCGAATAATACCAAACTCATTCCGTGCCCGGCGCAGCGGTTAGGTGCTGCCCCACTTACTTCCAATCATGGCGAACCGTGTTCAAGTAAGCGGTGCCAGCGTACGGGCGTCGTTTCAACACCATCTGTAACCTCATGGTGCGGCAAGATTGCGAAACAACAGCAGCAGACCCGCATGAAGGCCAACACCTTCCACCCTAATTTAATAAAACGCTTTCCGCGTGCCTATTCCAACGGATAGGTTTTTGGGGTTATAAGAAAACGCGTATAGGCGGTTCTCCAAATTTTTTTACCATCGCGGTTAACACTAGATTCGATCTGAGCCAAACGCATCAACACCCCCAGAAAGACAAAAAAGAAATACTTACACATACCCTCGTTGCCTAAAATTAAATTACCTCACGGTCATTTTATTCTACACATATCACACCATCCTTTCAAGATGCGTTACACAGTTCCTCTTATCTTAATGGCGGCCGTGGTTGTCCTTGCTTCGCCTGTCACATCCACATCCATAGCTGTATCGCGGAAAGCAGCACCTCCTCCACCACCGGGACCACCTGGACCTAAAGGAGGGCCTATGATGATGAAGCCTGGAGGACCCGGTATTGGTGGAAGTGTGGCGAACGTTGGACCATGCCCAGTAAGTTGCATACACACTACTGGCAATATGTAAATACGATGTACTGACGACATACCCAGATGGATTGCTGGAACCAAGCTGCAGCAACTGCAGGCTGCGACCCCAACGTAGACGATAAATGCCTGTGCGGTCCATTCTTCGACGCAGTGACAAAATGCACAGCGGCAGCGTGTAGCATTGGAGAAAACCTCTGTAAGCCATCTCCAATGATGAGTCCATGAGAAAGCGGAATGCTAACAATTTTGGCAGCGGCATTGAACGTATTAAACCCCCCTTGTCAATAGAAGGGGAAAGAGTCATGTCGGAAAATGTTGTCGATATCCTATGAGATGGAGACAGGCGCCCAGGGACGGGGTTAATGAAATGAAATCTGTATATCATGGGAAAGACGTTTTCGTGCATGCGAAATCCATTTGCGGACTTGATTGCGATACCAATAATAACTTTATGAACCCCACATTTGACCAGCATTGCGATTGTGGCGTCGGCCGTGAGAAGTAGGTTAGTCCGATGAGTGAAATTGGACGGAAAGCGACGGGAACTACAGAGTCCCAATGTGAGTCTAAAAAGGCTTCAGGTTCCTGGGGTCGACGATGGGCTCGGGAAGTGGAGCAGGGTCGGACGGCACACGCTTGTGGTGTGTGCAAACTCTTACGCAGTGATGACACCAACTTGTAACGCAGGCCTAAATGCTGGTGCACCTGCCTCCTGAAGAGGAAGGTATGCGTCCCATTGCTCGTTCCGGATTCTTCAAGTGAGCAGTGCGTACATGTCCACGTTGTTACGTACACATGGTTTCGTGGTGTTATGGATTTTCAACCAGACCGGGAAGCAGTTGGGCCAAAGACAGTCTGTGCCTATCCAGTGTCATGCTCGGAAGATGCAATATGACAAATGTAGTGACATTGCTGTGGAGAGCGGGAACGGTGCATATCGTGGTCTGCCAGCTGGCGAAATCGTCCGATGATCGTATCTGGCTATCGCGATTGACGAGATGTGATCACTGTCGTGATTACATCACATCAGATTACAGAAGAAGGTTGCGCGATGGTCCAGATAAGAATTTTCAGGGCCGGGGAAGGCTGGAATCTGGAGGGGGATCCACGATGCATACTGGGGCTCACAACATTCGTCATACGTTCCACTCTGTCTGCATCCAGATTGCCACTAAATGCTTGGCTCTTTCCAGCAACTTCTTGCAGTCGCGTGCTCGGTGTGCAAGATTGGAACGAGAGGGTGTTGGCAAACAACACAACCACTACGGCGAGGTTAGGCATAGCAAGTTTCCCCTTGTGCGATGGTGGCGATGTCATCACGGCGATGTCCCTGGATTGTCTAGCCGCAGTCAACGGCTGCGGGGCCCCAGAGAGCTTATCCGTGGATCAACCGACATGGTCGGGCATGTCTGTTTTGACGCGTAACCTGCTCTTTCAAGATCTGCGACATACGTCAGTTGATCAGCCAGACCCTGAAGGTTTTGGCCAAAAAAAAGTGTCGAGGTAAGCACGGGTGATGATCATGTCAGGTTATGACATTATGACATTATGGCGTGCGAGGAACATGGTGAAAAGGTTTTCAGTGTCTGTCAGCAGGTTCTGTTGGGTGTGCTTCGCTAATGAAGGCCGGTGTATTGGCGGCAACAGTGTTCCGACATGGAGCGACTGTCACACATGTTATCGGAAGGATAAAGCCCAAAGGCCTAGTCCAGGAACAATGAAACTGTAACACGGTCAATGTCCGCTATGCTCTTCATAGCGGGCGCGGGAAGTGGAAGAAGGCCGGCATAAAGCAGCGTTTCGGGGCTAGGGAGGTGACGTTGGAAGAACAGTGCTTCCATGAATCCTTCCATGAAGGCGTACCTTGCATTCCTCGGAGGACAGGGTGGCAGGAGGCCACTACGGTAGCATTGAGCGGAGCCCCATCTTTGTCAGCGCCGCTTTTCCGAGATTCTCCGACACCGCGTTTTATCGTGAGAGGCTCCTCCGCTGGCGCGTGAAATTTCTGTCGGCTCGGCCTAGGGGTACGCTCGGAGGAAGCGACTCCAAAGCGGGGCGAGCTATTGAGGGGCTAGCTGGAGTCAAAAATTTCTCGAACAAGAGATAAGAATAGCGGATCCGGTGGGAGATTGCAGCGCAACATGTGTATCAGGCGGTTGCTAAGTAGCAAACCACCATGTGACTATTGTTAGGGAGGCAGCTAGAGCTTAATGCAGTCGATGCAGTCTTGTGTATAGGCAAATTAGCACAAGTAGCGGACGTCATATCTGCTCGGGACAGGCGGACCGTCGCAGGGCAAAGTCCCCCACGATCTGCTGCGGCAGGGTTCTAGCTGGAGATGGCCAGCCAGGAGCATGGGTGTGGCGGACCGGCATGGGCTAATACAAGAGCGGCACCGGCGACGATATAGCCAGTCCCCTTGGGCAATAAATAGGGCGATGAAAGAAGCATTGTTGGCATGTGAGATTACCCGGGTGTCGTGAGTGGGAGAGGTCGGCATGTACTGTATAGATTTGACCGACTT